CTGCAGCATTGAATGTCCCCAAGAACACAGTGACCTCCATCATTCTTAAATGGAAGAGGTTTGGAACCACCAAGACTCTTCCTAGAGCTGGCCGCCGGCCAAACTGAGCAATCGGGGGAGAATGGCCTTGGTCAGGGAGGTGACCAAGATCCCGATGGTCACTCTGACAGAGCTCCAGAGTTCCTCTGTGGAGATGAGAGAACCTTCCAGAAGGACAACCATCTCTGCAGCACTCCACCAATCAGGCCTTTATGGTAGAGTGGCCAGACGGAAGCCACTCCTCAGTAAAAGGCACATGACAGCCCACTTGGAGTTTTCCAAAAGGCACCTAAAGGACTCTCAGACCAGGAGAAACAAGATTATCTGGTCTGATGAAACCAAGATTGAACTCTTTGGCCTGAACGCCAAACGTCACGTCTGGAGGAAACCAGCCACCACTCATCACCTGACCAATACCATCCCAAAAGTGACGCATGGTGGTGGCAGCATCATGCTGTGGGGATGTTTTTCAGCGGCAGGGACTGGGAGACTAGTCAGGATCGAGGGAAAGATGAATGGAGATTCTTAATGAAAACCTGCTCCAGAGTGCTCAGGACCTCAGACTGTGGCGAAGGTTCACCTTCCAACCGGACAACGACTCTAAGCACACAGCCAAGACAACGCAGGAGTGGCTTCGGAACAGGTCTCTGAATGTCCTTGAGTGGCCCAGCCAGAGCCTGGACTTTATCCAGAGATGTTCGATCAGGTTTTATGTGCAGCGACGCTCCCCTTCCAACCTAACAGCGCTTGAGAGGATCTACAGGGAATAATGGGGGAAACTCCCCAAATACAGGTGTGCCAAGCTTGTAGCGTCATACTCAAGGCTGTAATCACTGCCAAAGGTGCTTCAACAAAGTACTGAGTAAAGGGCCTGAATACTTATGTAAATGTGAGAGAATGCCAAGAGTGTGCATAACTGTCATCAAGGCAAAGGGTGGCTATTTGAAGAATCTCAAATCTAAAATATATTTTGATTTGTTTAACACTTTTTTGGTTACTACATGATTCCGTATGTGTTATTTCATAATTTTGATGTCTTCACTATTATTCTACAACGTAGAAAATAGTACAAATAAAGAAAAACCCTGGAATGAGTTGGTGTGTACAAACTTTTGACTGGTTCTGTATATATCTTTGTTTAGGTATAAGCAAACTTTAGGGGTTCAAATAAAATCAGCCACAGGCCGAATTTGTCCAGTGGGCCGCCAGTTGATGATCCCTGCTGTAGTGGAATAGGCAGGCTTAATACAAGGCTTACCAATGGACTTTCACAGCATGAATAAATACTGATGAATAAGTTAATGAATAAAACTACGGTTTGAGTTACATTTTTATTAAAAGAATGAGCATACTGAAAGCATAACATGAAAGTATGCAGCAGCTACAAAAAAAAGCCTTACAATACTTGCAACAGTTATAATTTTGCATAGAATAACATTTTTAAACAATACACGTGGAGCAGTCTGACAAGTCTTGATGAGCAGGATGGGATAGCCTATATCCATCCAAGTGCTCACTTAGGCTATCAGGCATTAAACACTAAGACACTGTATGAAAACGATTCAATAAAAATATTGATGTAATAATAATCATCATCATCATCTTAGCAATAAAACATGAACAAATGATACTGAAGGACATTTGTACAGGTGACAAAAGATGCAGAACTGAGCTGACATAGACAGTGGGACCTGAACACAACAGCGTGTTCCAAGCGTGTTCCAGTATGCTGCGATCCATCAGGACTGCTGAGACAGGCCCATTTTGGTTAAGGGGCGAAGGAGGAGTCATCACTCTTTATACATCCTGGGTCTACTTTGCCCAACTGACCGTCTCAGAGAGACACTGTAAAGCAGGGATCATCGACTAGATTCAGCCGCGGGCCAATTTTTTCTTGAGCGGCTGGTCGGGGGGCCTGAACTTATTTACAAATAATTTGTAGACTTCAAATTGACTGCAAACAGATATAATATCTGAAACATAATCATTTCAAACCTTGCTTACATTTGTATACGACCACAGGTCTCTATTATGCGTGGGAATACTTGGGAACAGATTTCTAAAATGTAAATCAATTGGATCTGATTTCCTGGTGTTTTTACAGTCTTATGTCCAACAATGAAAATTCTAATAAATAAAATAAAAAATATTATTTTTTTGCTCAGAAAACTTGGGGGGCCAAATAAAACCGGCAGTTGGGGAACCCTGCTGTAAAGTAAAACAGTCGAACTGAAGCAGTCACCTTATTGCATTTTCATCAAGTGTTTTACTATTACCATTGCTCTGCAGTGCAGTAGGAGGTTGGCATCAGGTTTTACAATGCATGCACTACATATCATCCTGGGATGAAGTGCTGTGATTGGGGGGACAGGACAGAGTTTGGGAAACCCTGACATAAGGCACCAAAGCCCGGTTCCACATTGAATTGTTATAATACCCTTACCTGTCCCCATGAACATCTAAGCAGTGCCAACAATCCCATTGAAAATGTAAAACATGACATAAAAACTAACCTGGGCAATTTGCTAGAAAACCCATTTAATCCCTGTCACTTCCTTTATACCTCATAATTTAATCCACTGGATCAGGAGGCACTTGATCACTTCCTCTACCACACCACACTACTCACACTGACTCACTCTATACAGTCTCCAGCAACACAATTAAAGTGGGGACATCTTTCCGTCTGCCTGGATTAACTCCAATATGGGAAGGAAGCATGAGAATGACTATGAGACCAGGGACAGTATTCACAAAGCGGCTGAGAATAGAAGTGCTGATCTAGAATCATTTTTTCCTTTTCGACCATAATTAAAGGGATCATATGGACAGGAGGGGCTTGATTATAGATCAGCACTCCTACTCTACGATGCTTTGTGAATACGGGCCCAGAACACTGATGTTAAATGTAATGAGACTTTCTTGGAATTTTTTACAAATTCACAATGTGGGACATAGCCTACTATATTCAAAAATGGGTTGTTCTGTCTTCCCCAATGGACAATGTCAAATAAACAAGATCACATAAAACCGTTTTTTTTCCTTAGCACCAGAACAAGGTTAACATTCCGTGGAGGTGGTCTGCAGTGCGGGTTGGATTGAATTCCAGCCCAGTTTAAAAAGACAGCCCCAAGTGGGTTCCCAGTACCATATACATACAATATACACTTTTCTACACAATTAAATGTTTTATTGGAAAATAAATAAGCAATATATATTATTTAACCCCCGAATAAAGCAAAGCTATGAATTATTAGTACATGTATTCAATTGTTATTTGTATATCGTTTCGGTAAGTATGTGTGTATGCTATACGCGATACACTTTCGTATGCCATATCTCTATGTGTTATATATTTACACTACCGGTCAAAAGTTTCAGAACACCTACTCATTCAAGGGTTTTTCTTTATTTTTTACTATTTTCTACATTGTAGAATAATAGTGAAGACATCAAAACTATGAAATAACACATTTGGAATCATGTAGTAACCCAAAAAAGTGTTAAACAAAAGAAAAACATATTTTTGATTCTTCAAATAGCCACCCTTTGCCTTGATGACAGCTTTGCACACTCTTGGCATTCTCTCAACCAGCTTCATGAGGTAGTCACCTGGAAAGCATTTGTAGCGTCATACCCAAGAAGACTCAAGGCTGTAATCGCTGCCAAAGGTGCTTCAACAAAGTACCGAGTAAAGGGCCTAAATACGAGAATGCCAAGATTGTGCAAAGCTGTCATCAAGGCAAAGGGTGGCTATTTGAAGAATCTCAAATATAAATTTTGATTTGTTTAATACTTTTTTGGTTACTACATGATTCCATATGTGTTATTTAATAGTTTTGATGTCTTCATTATTATTCTACAATGTAGAAAATAGTAAAAATAAAGAAAAACCCTTGAATGAGTAGGTGTTCGAAAACTTTTGACCGGTAGTGTATATCCCTGATAGCTTTTAACTATATATTGATTATCACATGTCTAATGCGTACTAATATCTTAGAAACACTGTACATCCATGCAGATTGTAAGGTACACAGTCAAGGACCTTATTCGATAATATTAATACCAGCTTAGAGCAGTTTTGAAATCCACTCACCATGAGCTAGAATACTGTTTTGATAGTCCATGGAAAGGTCTCACCTATCTGAAATGAAAAGCTAAAGCCTACAAAATATCTTGGAGACGCAGAGTCTCACGTCTAGAATGTGCAATCACAAAATGCCAATCGTGTTCACTAAAGCTCAATGCAAGCTTCGCTCTTTCCCGACAAGGCTGCTGGGGGCGTCCTCAACACCAAAATAAACAATAAAACGACAAACAATGCTGTAACAGACGTAGTGGGACAGATGCGCCCTAGTTATGGCGGAGGGAGTCGCTCTCCTGCTGAAACAAGTGCATGCAAGAGAACACCCATTGAACCTAAAGATGGCTTCTCGCTCCCATTAGATTTCCTGTTGAAATGTAGACACAGTAGTCCCGAGTGGCGATGCAGCTGGTGACACTGCAGTACTAGTTATTTCTCCTTTGTCCAAAATGGTTCCATCAGAGTTGACCAATCACAGTGCCAGTAGATTAGATGCAACCAATCAGAATTTTCGCTTCTGGTTTTTCCCCTCCTATTGGTCTCAGTTAGCTTTTCAGGGTGCTTGAGTAAGACCCATGGTTATGACTTTAAAATCCTCCAACAGGGTTGGATCAGGAAGACAGATAATGAAGAGTTCAGCATGTGAGGCCAAGCATCAGAACAGAGTTGTTCCAACCAGAGTCCAGATAAATGAATCCAACCCTTCTGTGTTGTAGAGATGGAAGCATGGACACATTGCACACCGTCACACACTGCTCACTTGCGCGCACACACACACACACACACACACACACACACACACACACACACACACACACACACACACACACACACACACACACGCAGGATAGGTAAATAGATAGGTGTGTGGGGTTGTTCAGTGGTCTCCATCCTCCCAGGCACAGTCGTTCTTCTGCTTGGCCAGTTTCCTGACCACTCTCTCCAGCTCTTTACGAGACTTCTGCTCGTCCTCCAGACACTGCTTGATCCACTTATTTTCCTGACGAGACACATACACAAAATGTCCATTGAAACTCAGCACAGACATGTGAGAACACACGCATTCTCACACACCTACAAGTAGGAACCCAGAATAACAAAACATGTACCTACAGATAGACAAGCAGGCACCCACATAAACCACAACACCAACATTACTGAACAAAACGGCTTGTCAGCCTTTAAATGTGTCAGAGTGAGCTTTAGATTAACAATTATTTTATTTTACCTTTTTTAATTCATGGACCTCATCCTTTAAAGCGTACACCGCATCAACCAGACTCCTGCAAGCCAAGAAACAAAGGTTATCAGAAAGTGGGCCAATAGCATATTATTTTCATGTTACAATATGATAAAGGCTTTGGAATGTGTGTGTTCGAGGTAGTCAAACATAACAATTTCAGAAATATTCAAAGAACCAATTTCATGCTTTTCAATGTTGACCACAATTTTTTGCTATTCAACGTTAATCACAATTTCTTGCTATCCAATGTTCAAGACAAAAGCACTGTTTTGGCAAAACCTCAAGGTGATCAATTTTAATTGGATAAATAAATACTAGTGTCCTACAGTAGCCTCGAAAAAGCGGATTAGATCTGTTGAAACGACCGGCTGAACAATAACTAACTGCAGATCCATGTGCATACACAGTGATGTAATGGCCTAATAAAAGTATATTCCACTGAGTGATGGCAGTCTTACTTTTCCTCTATGATTGTCTGACCGTTGTTCTTCATCTCCTCCACCATCATCTTCTCTTCCTCCAGCAGCAGGACCTGAGGGACAGACTCTTTCCTCACCGCTGCAGACACACACAATAACACACACACACACACACGAGTAAGCCTGAGTCATTGCCATGTCTATGGGCCATTGAAGGTGCGGTACACACACATCCTGGACGTGTTGAAGAAAACTATTTGTCTGTATTACACACACACACTAACTGTAAGTTAGGGGGGGGGGGGGGCAGTATGAAAATGTTTGCACTCACTAACTGTAAGTCGCTCTGGATAAGAGCATCTGCTAAATGACTAAAATGTAAAATGTAATGGATGGCAGGGGCCAAAGCTTCCTGCCATCCAGGACCTATATACTAGGCGGTGTCAGAGGAAGGCCCCAAAAAAAATTCAAAGACTCCAGTCACCCAAGTCATAGACTGTTCTCTCTGCTACCGCACGGCAAGCGGTACCGGAGCGCCAAGTCTAGGTCCAAAAGGCTGCTTAACAGCTTCTATCCCCAAGCCATAAGACTGCTGAACAATTAATCAAATGGCCACCCGGACTATTTACATTGACCCCTTTGTTTTTACACTGCTACTTGCTGTTTATTATCTATGCACAGTCACTTTACCCCTACCTACATGTACAAATTACCTCAACTAACCTGTACCCCCGCACATTGACTCGGTACATGTACCCCCTGTATATACCCTCGTTATTGTTACTTTTTATTTTTATTTTTTACTTGAGTTGATTTAGTAAATATTTTCTTAACTCTTTTTCCTGAACTGCATTGTTGGTTAAGGGCTTGTAAGTAAGCATTTCATGGTAAGGTCCACACCTGTTGTATTCGGCGCATGTGACAAATACAATTAGATTAGATTTGATTGACAGGTTGAAAAAAGACAATCACTCACACAGACACATACAAACGCGGTGGCGTGTGCTCGAACACACACAGAGTATCCTTCGTCTCACCTGTGTTGGTCTGATGAAGGCTGGCCCCTGTGCAGTAGGCCTCGATCACCTTCAGAATCTGGGCGTCCTCCTCCAGAGCAGCTGTACCTGTCAATCAAAGGCACGCAGGGGAAACCGGGGGTCATGTGCCTTCTGAACCACAACAACAGACTTTACATTCAAACCTTCAACATTCCACTGACATGTACACATACAGTCAGGTCCAACTGATTTAGCTGCTGCATCTCTATGGGTTTATGCTATGGACGGTCCATTTCCCTCTCATCGTTCCATGCAATTTAAAGTAACTGTCCAGTGTTTCCAGATGTCTATGAAATATGACCTATAATTCATTATAACATGAGTAAAACAGTTTTCCTTCCAATAAATGGCAATTAAGTATGTTAAAAAGCAGCTTTTCTGTGTTGGAACGGTGTGAGAATACCCCAACAACAGAAGGGTGTGGGCGTATGCTGGTCATTAAAATGATATTCAAGACAAAAAGTAAACAGCTGATTGGCCAGCTCAGCCAATGAACCAACGTGACATCACATTAAATGGGGACACACCAAGCATTTTTGAAACAGTCAGAAAAGTTTGAGGTGTTTTTTTCTCTCTCGAATTTACACTTCGGCCACAAATACGAGTATAGGACAAGTCAACAACATTATTTGGGTATGAGTTAACAGAATATGAGCTTTTAAAACTAACACTAACAAGAAGAAGCTGGATGTGTTTGATGAGTAACTAACTTTCACTCTCACCTTGAGAAGGCACTCCGACTTTAAGTTATCATAAACCACATGAGATACACGTTTGAGCTAATATGCAGAGAATTACATTGATTCACAGAGATAGAAATTGGCCATTGGTTAGGCGGCGTATGGAATTTGCCACACAGAGTGTGAATCTGTGCTTTCCTTGGTGGCAACCCATTTGGACACTAGGAAATTATACATAATAGAGTGTGATGATCAAACCTACTTTTCCGCAGGAGGAACTCATCGTCTGAAGGTTTTCGTTCTGTTTTGCGTTTCGGGAGGAACTTCTTAATGGGCCTCGGACTTTTACCGGAGTCCTGTAGGAGTCGCGGAGAAGAGTTAGGAGAGTAGAGTACACAGTGACAAATGTCGTCAAGCCAGGGGAAAAAGATCACGGTAACTGCAAGCCTACGGTAACAGACATTGCCACCATGGACAAAAACAAACAAGGCGACAAAGTCTTACATATTGCATAAGCATGGGATGGTAGTAACCAAAGAAACCTGGGTCATGTACAGTAGGGCACGCAACATGAAAATAAAATGTGTGTTTCTTATTGGACAAGTCTAAGTAGTCAGTCAGGTTTCATCCATTTGGTGGCTAATGAACATGACCCTGGAGTCATTTTAAACGGTTTACTTTTAGAAACAAAGTGAGTCCTCCGAGTCATTAATGAATGTGTGATTTTCAACACACACACACGTCACACACTTGAAGCAAATTGTTGTGGCCTATGATGTCATCACGTCAGCTAAAATGGATCACCTTTACCATTAACGAGCCAAAAGATGAAGATCCTAATTGAAACAATGATTAATTCAATGTAATCCTTTCCTTTGTATCCTATTTGTAAACACTTCTATTTTAAAACCTGGAAATTTGCTTTCTTGACATTATATTTAATTATAATGGCATTTATTAATGCTTATTTCATCACAACAGTAAATAGCATGTACAGCAAATCAGTTAATTTATGCATGTGTCCAGTTCAATACAGCCCCTAAAAGACTTTAAAAAACAGGACTATATTTTTCACATTTTCAAATGAAAGAATGACAAATTCACCATGATTATTTTTTTTAAGCTAAGGGAATGAGTGTTTCTGCATCAAATTCCACTTGTATAAGTACGGCTTTCTGTTACCTAGAAAACAGATAGAGATCTCAGGTAGACCGTCTGCCAGAGGTTCTGGGTGACTACGGGGGATAAAAGACAGACAAGGCAGCAGAGAACACAGGAAACCAACAGCTTACAGCAGAGGAAGAGGCAAACAGAGCAATGTGTTGCCACTTCAGCACAAGGGCGCATGCACACACACACATCCACACAGAAAGAGAGTGATAGATCTAGCCTTACCTTCAAGATATAAGAAATTCTCTACAGAAGCCAGTATGGAGAGAGAGAGAGATGCATGATTTTATTTTTTTAAATGTTATAGAAGAGCATGAACAGTGAACATTTCAGTACCCCCCCCCCCCCCCCCCATCCTGTAGTATGAAGAAAACAGAGTGATGATTCCACAGAGAAAGAATAAACAAAAAAACAGGGTAGAGGAGAGAGGTAAAGGGGGAGATGCATGCATTCTCCAAAAAGGTAGAGAAGGAGACCCCAGTTAATAGCTGCTTTAACCCTGGGGGCAGAGAGTATTGTGGGTAATGCTCAGTGATGAACTGTCGCTAACACTAATACACCCCCCCTTGCCTGTAAACTGTCATTCTATAGCTTCCGGGACCACCTTTTGCCTACTCATCTGCTAAGCGCTCCGCACACACAAACAGCTATATCCCAGAGGGTTTTTTCATGGTCCTATTAGAGTCAAGTTACTGTGAGACATAAAGCAGTGTTCTGTACCCCATTCCTGAATAAACTTAGTGTTTGCAGGCATTTGTCCTAGCCTAGCACAATATCCTGATTCAAGTAATCAACTATTCATCCAGACCTTGATAAGAAGAATCTGGAGGGTTAGTGCTGGGCTGGAACATAACCCTGCACACACTGCAGCTCTCCAGAATCAAGCGTGAAGAACCCAGAGATCGATGGATCATAAGTCTGGGTTGGCCTACCTCCTTGTAGCCCAGTGCAGCAGAGGGCTTGAGGGGTGGGGCGGGACGCAGGCAGCTCAGGGACCAGGGCTTGGTGGTCTTGGGGGGCTCCAGGGGACCCCGGTTGGCCTGGCTGGGGGTGCTGAAGCTGGGCAGGTGGGACTGGTGAGTGGGTGTACCCACCATACTGACCGGTTTCCCCCCGTCGTTCTACATAATTCATACACAGAGGTAAGATAGTTAGAAAGAGGGGATGTGTAAGTTTCAATGCAAATGCCAGCCATGTGTGAAGTGCAGTAGTAGTTCATAGTTCAGTGCAATGCGAGTTCTTGCTACGTGTGAAGTGGTGTGCATGTTTTCATACCACGGACCATGTCTAAAGGGAAACACACCATTTTGTTTAGTGCACATTCTCTACACACAACAGCAGTTCCTGTATCTTTGATACAAGAAATAATGCAGTGTGTGAATGTGTGTGCATGCTTGTGTGTGTCATGTCTTTACCTTGATTATGGTGCCCACGGGGCTTCCGCCTTTGGTGTAGGCACTGAGATGGTCCAGCCAGTCCTGCAGCTCCTGGGGGTTACTGCAGAACACTGTGACACGATCCATCATGCTCCCTGCAACACACACACACACACACACACACGAGACACACACACACACACACACACACACGAGACACACACACACACACACACACACACGAGACACACACTTCAGTGGGTTGCACTTTGCTGGGAAGTTCCAGGCCAAGCTACCTAAAGTTAGGTACGTGTAACACTTTGTTTGCGAGACGTTTCGTAAAGCCCACATGTAGACATCTAACATGAATCATAAACGCCCACCATGACAGCTGCGTCGTGACTGGATGACAAACCAGATGATAGTGTCAGGATTACAAAACAAGTAAGCTTTATAGGAACTCTTATAGAAATACAAGATCAAATCATGACGTCAGTGATCTTCAGGTCGGAAAGTCGGAGCTCTAGAAAGAGGCCCGGGTTCCAGAGTTGGAATTCCGAGTTGGATGACCGTTCAAATCGAAGTTTGGAAGTCGGAGATTTCCGAGTTCCCAGTCGTTTTCAATGCGGCATGTATCATAGCTTGTGTCATGTGGCAAGTAAATAACACAACTATGATGAAATGTTCTCCCAGCAGTCTTGTCATGTTAATGATATCATTACATAAACACTATGATGAATAGTTCACATAACTCAAATACTTAGTATCTTTCCTTTTCCCCCTCAGTGAATGTCATAAGTCTTCAATTGTTAAAACAGAGATTAATCAAGGTTTACACAGCTGGAGTTTGTGCTGAAGGGACTTGAATAAGAATGACTGACAGAGCAGCTTGCTACTATTTTTTCAAAGGGATGCTATATAAGAAATACTCCATTGGTTCGCTTAAAATGAGGCGCAAACTGCCATTAATAGCCTACAACCCACTGATGTAATAGGAATATGATAAATGGCCCAGTGACCTCCAATCTATTTAACAGGACCTGTGTGTTATGATACAGGCCTTTCAAAGGAAACCCAATAACTGGCACTGATTGCAATCACCATAATATTATAATCTGCATAATTGCGCCGCAGATTATAATAGAGTATTCCGGTCCTTCTCAATCTCCTCTGAGATTAACCTACTGTACCTGTGATCTCAAAGGCGTAGTGGCCGTTCTCTGTGTCCTCTGTCTGTCTGGAGACTGTGGAGCCCGTCAGTGGCAGCCTTCCCTGTGGGGAAAGAAAGAGGAGGGGGGCGGGGTGACACACTGCCACAGATACCTGGGAAACACCTGGGACATATTCAGATGGCACACATCTGGTCCTCGTATGTTACCTGGTATATGAAGCCACTCATCCGCGGACTAGCAGACAGCATGACCAGCACACTGGGAAACATCATGAGGTAGCGCTCCTCTTTCTCCTATGGAGAACACACATATTAACACAGATACAGCATGAAAGAACCAGACATGGCTATGTGTCAAATACACACATTGACACCCACAGACAAAGATGAGTGTCTGAGAACTGGCAATGGGACGTGAAAATCAGTCGCATCGATGATATTTGGGGAGAAATATCAGAGTTTATTAATCCCAAATCATAATATTTCAGCTAAGTTAAAAGATGCACTATGCAGAAATCGCTTCACCATTTCCTGGTTGCTAAAATTCTAATAATTAGCCTAATTTCAGTTAATGTGACAGAACAAGCAAATATAGTGTAGAGAATCATTGTACCATCCAAACCGCTGTGAAATACAATATTTTGGGTTAAACTGTATTTTCAGCTGTTTGAAGCTAGTGTGCAAAACCGAAAGTAAAAGACGCAAAAACTCAACTTAAAAACGGGAAGCATAGAAATAGTGCACATAGAACAGATCTACAGCTTCTTAGACTTGCTTTCAATGAGAATGACAGATACAGTTGAAGTCGGAAGTTTACATACACTTAGGTTGGAGTCATTAAAACTAGTTTTTCAACCAATCCACAAATGTCTTGTTAACAAAATATAGTTTTGGCAAGTCGGTTAGGACATCTACTTTGTGCATGACAAGTAATTTTTCCAACAATTGTTTACAAACAGATTATTTCACTTATAATTCACTGTATCACAATTCCAGTGGGTCAGAAGTTTACATATACTAAGTTGACTGTGCCTTTAAACAGCTTGGAAAATTCCAGAAAATGATGTCATGGCTTTAGAAGATTCTGATAGGCTAATTGACATCATTTGAGTCAATTGGAGGTGTACCTGTGGATGTATTTCAAGGCCTACCTTCAAACTCAGTGCCTCTTTGGTTGACATCATGGGAAAACTAAAAGAAAATCAGCCAAAATTTTGTAGACCTCCACAAGTCTGGTTCATCCTTGGGAGCAATTTCCAAACGCCTGAAGGTACCACGTTCATCTGTACAAACAATAGTATGCAAGTATAAACACCATGGGACCACGCAGCCGTCATACCGCTCAGGAAGGAGACGCGTTCTGTCTCATAGAGATGAACGTACTTTGGTGCGAAAAGTGCAAATCAATCCCAGAACAACAGCAAAGGACCTTGTGAAGATGCTGGAGGAAACAGGTACAAAATGATCTATATCCACAGTAAAACGAGTCCTATATCGACATAACCTGAAAGGCCGCTCAGCAAGGAAGAAGCCACTGCTCCAAAACCGCCATAAAAAAGCCAGACTACGGTTTGCAACTGCACATGGGGACAAAGATCGTACTTTTTGGAGAAGTTTCCTCTGGTCTGATGAAACAAAAATAGAACTGTTTGGCCATAATGACCATCGTTATGTTTGGAGGAAAAAGGGGTTAGCTTGCAAGCCGAAGAACACCATCCCAACCGTGAAGCACGTGGGTGGCAGCATCATGCAGTGGGGTGCTTTGCTGCAGGAGGGACTGGTGCACTTCACAAAATAGATGGCATCATGAGGAAGGAAAATTATGTGGATATATTGAAGCAACATCTTGGTCGCAAATGGGTCTTCCAAATGGACAATGACCCCAAGCATACTTCCAAAGTTGTGGCAAAATGGCTTAAGGACAACAAAGTCAAGGTATTGGAGTGGCCATCACAAAGCCCTGACCTCAATCCTACAGAAAATTGTGGGCAGAACTGAAAAAGCGTGTGCGAGCAAGGAGGTCTACAAACCTGACTCCGTTACACCAGCTCTGTCAGGAGGAATGGGCCAAAATTCACCCAACTTTTTGTGGGAAGCTTGTGGAAGGCTACTTGAAACATTTGACCCAAGTTAAAGAATTTAAAGGCAATGCTAACAAATACTAATTAAGTGTATGTAAACTTCTGTATATGTGTATGTTTAACCAAGAAAGGGATAGCCTGGAGGAGTAGAACGAAAATCCTCAGTATTCCTAATTATCCTGGCATCTGGGATACTAAGATGAGGTGGGGTTAATCCGGAAAAATTAACCTAAAGTGGCTTATGGTGCCCCCTATCTGCATGGAATGGGTGGAATCAGCCATGACTAAGCATTTTTAGGTCTCCTATATAAGATCTCTATTTTTTCATTATTAGTTAAGCTCTCGGCAACACACACTTCAGAGTGTGCGGTCGACCAGCTTCATTATTGCAATAATTAATCGATGTTAAATAAAGATTGATTGTTTGAAAGGTTGTCCAGGTCTCTCTCAGAACTGAAATGTCCACGACACAGGTCGCCCAAAAAGTTACATATTACAGCTTTAAAAAAGGTTAAGAAAACAGGGAATCAGTTTGAAAGACGTTACATAGACGTTGGTTGGAGCTTCAATAAGACCAAAACAAAGCCAGACATTTGTTCCTCTCAGCCCTCAGATCCTCATAATCGACCCCTACACAGAAACCACACTACAGGGGGGGATGACTTTCGACTCTAGTCTGTGGTTTCTGATTCATAATGAATTCAAATATTTGATGAACATAGGCCTAATGTAGGAGAGGGGGTGGCGATCAGAATATAGGACTCATCTCCAGAATGTGTTGGATGGAAACAATCATATCAGGTGCTGAAATATTACAATTCTGAAAGAGGAAGTCCTTGGATCGATTCTAAGCCTGTGAGTGAACAAACAAGCAACAATTTTATTTCCTGGTTGTCAAGCAGAGAAAGTAACTGGTCCACCTCACTTTTCCTGTTGTTTGCTTTGCCCAAGCACATGTTCATGCTGCTCAAAACATTAATAACCATTCAACCACATTGCTGTGAAAGGAGCCATTGGAGTCATTAATTTGAACTTCGACCTTCTCAGAGGTTGCCTGTAGCGCTCTCTCTGGATAGTTGCCGTTACACACAGATCTATGATCAGCTTACCGTCCCCAATCCTAACATTAACCATTAGGGGGGGGAATGCAAGACTGATCCTAGTTCAGCATATAGGGACACCTGTATCTGTTGCTCTCACCTCATTGGTCCCGTTCTGCATGTGCACTTGGGACATGTAGGCCACGTGACCCAGAGACTTCATCCCATCTCCCTCCCAGCCTCTCACTGGCTCTGACAGGATCTGTAGTTCCAGGTTCTTACGCTTCCACAGGTCCTGACACTGGGTCTGAAAGGACAGGGAGAGGTGCCAATTAATGTATAGTTCATATGAGACACTGTTAGTGTGTGGTGGAAACAGACAAACAATAAGATAATAGCCATTTTAAGCCTGGGTTAGTAAACATTTGCACTAGCGCAAAGCTAGTAACTCTGTAATATAAAATGTCCATGAAATGGCAATACTGCAACAGGTATAACATAACTGTGCCTCATGCAAAGGCGAGTTACAGAGAACAGTTTACCGGGACCAGAAGGGGTGTTCCCCCTCTCACAAAGACAAAATGACAAAGCAACATCAACCAAGTTCTGACTCAGACATGAAGGGCAGGAACGTATGCAAATAGGGCTGGCGGACCCAAAAGTTAACCTTTGGGAAGCTCAAACACACACCCCAGCACACGTCTCACACACAGACACCTCAAGAGACTACAGTGTAAGTGTGTGTGATTCAACCCTTCCCCTCCAATTCATAACTCTCAGCCACATTTTCGAAACAATTGCTCCAACAGATACCTGTATTGACTCTCATCTAATGCTTGTCTTCAAACTCTGTGCTGCTATTTCAGTCACAACCCACCTTAGGAAAAATATTTCCACTGAGGACATATTACACAGGAAGCAATATATTTTATTCTTCATTCAAACTACCGAGATGGGCGTATCATTGCCCTTTCACACTGCACACAGATTAATATAAGCACCCCCTATTTGACCTGTTTTATGCAAGGCTGTCTCGTGTGATGCTCCTTCTCCTCAGTTTGGAAACATAAGAACTAGATACAAAAAACATCGACCCATCTTCAGATAAGCCTTTATTAATTTCATGCACTGAAAATCGACGTGTGTGCTTTCATCAAGACACTGAGCGAGGAAACGCGCACACGATAATGTGATTCTGGATAGTAAGGTTAATATAATAGTTTGTTTAAAACGTTTATATGCTTTGCAAGAAGAACGATTTCCCTAATAATCCTGTTTACATGGAAACATCTGAAATCAGGCTATATGATGGGACTTTTGATAAATGCAGAAAATCGCCAACCAAAATAAATGTTCTACCACAGTGACCATGTTATTTTTAGTTTTCCGAACTCACTTCACTCACACATAAGAGGGGAGCTTGCGCTACCGTTGCTGGCACATGCACAGATCAAATACACTGCTGGAACGCTGATTAAGCTGTTTACATGTCCTAATAATTCGAAAGATTGCGCAGAACACCTGGGGTTTTAATCGGCATGTGCTTAGTTAGATTTTGACCTTACACCCTGCTTACATGACTATTGCATAATCTGCCTACTGCCATAATCAGTTTGATATCAAATTATTATTATTGTGCATGTAAATGTACTCACTGAGATAATTTTCAGTGACTTGTCTCTCTCTCTCGGTAGTGTGTTAGTAATATAGAATAGATGATGCTACTATAGACTAGTAAGATAATACAATGCGCATGGTTCATCTCTATGGGCCATGCCAACATTAACATTGCATGAGGAACCACAGGGGTTCTGTACCTACCACCAAGCTCTTAAAGGCCACTGTCGCCTTCAAGATGTCACTGTAGTCCGGGTGGGCCTCCTGCAAGATAGTCAACAACAACAAAAACGGTTAAATAACTTATATCTTATACACAATACCTTATAAAAGGCAGGGGTGAAAGTAAGCCGGTACGGAGTCCCTGCAAAGTAATAAGTGGGTTACATAGTGGTTCGATGAGAACACTTACATTTTGTCAAGGTGGAGATGAGTGGCCGAAACAGAGACGCGCGCAGACAGCAGTGGACGCATCCATTCAGGCTACAAGTGCAGGCCTAATGACCGTCGCAGAATGTAATTACAATACACGTTTAGGTGTTTTGTAACAGAAGTCCCTTTCCATTCATCAAATGGTGGGTGCACAGTGCACTGTTTGGATGCTGGAATTATTTTGTGAGTGAACGAACGTGCACGGGTAGCCTATAGGAGCACCTTTTTAAAGAGATTGTTCGACAATCATATGAAGACATCATGACTGGTTGTGTTTATGCCACATTAAATTGTAATACATTTGAAAAGTTATATGACAATTCATTACTAAGCCAACTAGGCCCACAGAGACCATATTAAATTAATAGGGATATGTAATTCTATGATTACACCTAGGCTATAAAAAACATGCACGCACACACACACGGGGAGTCCCGTACCAGTAAGAAATTAAATATACTTTCACCCCTGAATAAAGTTGGATGTAAAAATTTTAAAAAATGCAACAATCCAACTACATTAACACGTTTGGGAGGGATATCAAAACACTGTATATCAATAGTATTTCAGCATTGACGGGGAGTGCTATCTGGAACAGTGGAGGTGAGAAACCTCAGTTGCATATGATTCCATAGATGGGCCTATAGAGAGTTAAGCAACTGCCCTCCATGTTGGCTCTAGATGAGACCTACTGTACCTCCACGTGTCTCTCCAGCTCCTGCAGCAGGATGGGGTACTTGTCCAGCCTCATGAAGGGTTTACTCAGGCTGGTGGTCAGGGTCAGGATGCCCGGCGTACTGGCCCCCTGGCTCTCCATAAACGTACCCAGCTCCTCACTACAACACACACACAGTGTTATACTGCTGGGTTACGATGTAAAGAGATAGGGAAAAGATTCCGCCATAGAAAAAAGACACTGAGTTTGGAGTGAACAACCAATTAAGTCAATGTTGAATGTGTTTGGTAGTGAAAGGACACAACTTAAAAAGATCCCACAGTATGAAAGAAGCCAATTAGTTTAGTGTGAAATCGAAAGTGCCTCATCTGCCTCGAACAACAACCACAACTATAGATATCCTGTGTGCAGCTTCCTGTGTGTTCTCTTATCTCTGCAATGCATCTTTACACATTAACAATTGTGCAGCAAGAGACCAGGGAGGGAAATCAACAATAGTTGCAAAATAGCATACATGATTAATTTGCTAAACTGACATAATAATTACATAACCAGTTGATTCATGTCTTGGTTTTAATTACCACTACATTGTGTGTGATGGACAGCAGTGAGATGAACCATTAAGAGGTCCACAGAGGCTAAGGGGTGATTGTAGTGAATGACACAGTGAGGATATGATGAGGGTTGGCTACACACTGAAGGTTACTCACTCACTCATAATTTACAACTGATAAGTGAGACACCACTTTGTTGCGCCCAATGATGTATATAAACCCTGGATTGCTGACGATATGTATTGGCCATTGAGAGGCATTGAAGCCACTGGTCGGCTATATTGGCACTCCCAAGTAGGAGCAGTACTGCATAGGAATGATTGGAATTCTAGAGTAAAAAAATGTGTGCGTGCTAACATTAGCACTCACAAAAAAAAGATATACTTTAAGGAAGATTATTATATATTTTTTGTTTTTATGTTTAGCTCAGATAATATAATTTAAAAGTATGCATTTAGGAGTCTGTAATATAATAAACATGTCAAAAATGCATGTAGATATTAATAAATGCATTTCTATAGCTTCCAACATCCTTTTTTTTTTTTTTTTTTTATGCAGGAGGAGTACCAAGATGGCTGAGCAGTGGCTTCAACACAAGCCCCGTCAGTCATCCACATCGTTGGTTGCGCCTCTACATTTACAGAGAGAAAGTATGACACCTAGTGGGTCAAAGAGAAACTCCAACTAATCCCAAAGCTATCCACAAAGACATGCCATTTTACTTATGCATTATTATACGGACTGTTAAATGCAGTGAAATGCGAATCAAATTTAGATGAATGTCATGCAGAACTGAGATGCCCATAAGGACTGACCTGTGGTCAGTGAGTACGCAGACAGCAGAGGGGTGACTGGAGCAGTAGGACAGGTACAGCATCCTGATCTGACCAATCAGGTTGAGGTAGCAGGCAGCCACTCGCTGCTGGCTCTCTGGAACCCTGCAACACACACAGAGAGAAGTGGTGTGTTAGTTACTACGACAACAGTTGGGTTGTTCCTGTATCTTTGGTTTCAGATTCTATTCTAGATATCGGTCACTAGAGGGTGCATGGTCGTCTGAGGCCATCCCATCTAGATCTACATCGCAACAAAACTATTTCTCTCCAGAATATCTGATAGAAACAGTCCGGCATGTAAAAAGTCTAGTGGCAGATTTGACATGGGGTTAGGGTAATGTGATTTGATTCAGTTGACTAAAATGTGCAGTGCCTCCACCCCAGACCTGTGCCATTAACACTCTCACACACACTTACTTGGTGCACTCCTCCAGAGCCAAAACCAGGCCCTGCTGGAAGGTGAGGATCTCCTCCAGGTTAGCACCCAGAATGCCACTGTCTGTACTGCTCAGCCTGGACACCACACAACAGAGAACATAGAATTACAATGAGTAGAACATATATACCCATTTAAAAACAACAACATGGTGCATGGGTCATTCTAAGAGAGATTCACAATGACACAAAGTTCTTTAGTAATTGGTATTTTAAGATTAATTAAAACATCTGAATGAATCCCCCATGTCCCCCATCCTTGTTCTTTGAGCTTACTTGTCGCTGGCCAGTAGGGGTCGTAGGTAACAGCTCAACACTGTCTGCAGCTCCTTGACAAACTCCCTCTCATGCTCCTGGATGTCTTGAACCACCTGAGAAAGATCATTGAAATGAGGCACATCCTATTAGAAACAGGCATGGTGTTACCGCCTATACAGTTCCCCTAAGCAAAGCTGTAGTGGCCCAGTACATATGGAGCTGTAGAAAAGTGAGATCCAATGTGAGAGGGCCCACTCACCACACTGTAGTAGTTCTTGGTAAGTTGAGTTGCTTTAGGAGACACAGGCTTATCTGCAGGACATAAATAAATAAGAACCTGAGTTATGGAGCAGCAATAACTAGTGTCTAGTCTAAATCGAGTTTTTGTACATTCCAGGTACTACATCAAATCTTCCCCAACCCTACCCACCGCAGGGCTTGACCTCACGGACATAGTTGCTGGGGAACCACCCCGTCTTGCCGTTGAGCGAGCCCTCCCACCAACCGCCCTCCTCCTGGCGCGACACACTGATCAGGTCTCCCTTGTTGAAGGACAGCTCATCCTCGTTGTTCTGCTTGAATTGGAAGCGTGCCTTCACCAGCAGCAGCCCGCCCCCGCCGTTCTCCGACATCTCCTGATTAGGTAGAATGGTTGTCAGTTACTGACTGGTAAACAACCACATCAGTTAGGACCAGCGTTGGGGTCCATTCCATTTCAATGCAGTCAATTCAGGACATAAACAGACATTCTTGAGATGGAATTGACCTCAACTCTGTGTGCGTGTGTTTGTGTGACCCTACCACTGGTTTAGATTGTCTGCGCAGGGACTTGGACCTGGATGACGATAGTGTGTTGGAGGAGGTGGACTGACTAGGAGCGGCTGTGCCGGACTGGGGACATGACCTCTCAGTGCCACAGTCTGTGGAGGAAAACACAGAGACTTTTGAATATTTCATTATGATCCACAAAGACACATTGTGAGTGCAAGGACTCAAATAACTTAGAAGGTTATATAGATGTTTGTCAGTCAGTCATGAACACAACAACTTACATAATTCTTATAATCAAGTATAAAATCAATGTCTCATTTATACAATTACACAGTACTCATAACAGTTGAGATGACATCTCTCTCTCTCATACACGTCAGTGTTGCGTCAGTGGTTAGGTTAAACAGCATTGGGCTGTGCACTGTTAACAGCTTGTTGATGAGAAGGGGTTTCAGTGCAGACTGTTGGCTCTGCAGTGCCTGACAGAATCACCTCAACTCTGCTAGCTAGCATCTAACACAGACAAGACAAGAGACCTTGTTTTACTTGATCAATTACCAACATCAAAGAGGGCAAAGACCGAATGATTCATACCTCTAATGTGCTTACACTCATATTTATTTCAACAGTGAAGCTAAAACATTTAATTTGGCTCTATAATCCAGCATTTTGGATTAGAGATAAAATGTTTTATTTGAGGCGACAGTACAGAATGTCACATTTTATTTGAGGGGTTTTTCATACATATCTGTTTTACTGTTTAGAAATGAAAGCACTTTATGTATCTAGTCCCCACATTTGAAGGAATCATAATTATTTGAACATATTCACTTATTGTGTATTAAAGTAGTCAAAAGTTTAGTATTTGGTCCCATATTCCTAGCACACAATAAATACATCAAGCTTGTGACTCTACAAACTTGTTGGATGCATTTGTAGTTTGTTTTGGTTGTGTTTCAGATTTTGTTGTGCCCAATAGAAATGAATGGGAAATAATGTATTGTAGGTTGAGTCGGACAATAACAAAATCGTCTTCAAAGAGCTGACTAATAAACTCTCCTTAGCATTCTCAGACAGGAGGAAAGCCATGTGGGACTACCAGACTAATACTGGAAAACACCTGGCAGCCGTCATGTGAGAGGATTCCCTTTGCAGGCGCAGTAATGCATCAGCCTTCCAGCCACAGCAGTACCAACAGACCTGGGCATGTCTCTGCCACAGCCACACCCTTTCCCAATGCCAGCTGCTAAACCTAAGCCAAATGTCGACCCATAGACATCCTTCACAACTGAGCCAACACAGTATTAGATCAATACTTGTATCGGTGTCGGGAAGTGACAGCGAATCCTCTTTTAATGAGCTAACACATTACTTTACATGATACATGTGCATCCTTGTTGGCTGGTACTGAGTCTAAATCCACTTTCCAAGGAGGGAAAGTGTCCGGGAGTAACACCTTTGTCTAATCTCCTTTCATTAAAGGAGCGGATCATCGCCAAGCTATTTATACATGTTTTGATAGAGAGCCAACCATCTGGAAGGCAGGATTAGCTAGATACCCTATTAGTTATACAGACCGAGACCATTGTAATGAGGATTGATAAAGAGAGATTGGCAGAGGCGGTATTGCTGACACTGATCAGTGAGTCATGTTATTTACCATATTGCTACAGTCTGGAAATGACTCTGGAGGAAAAACACCAGGATCATGTTTTTATTCAACCTTTTAGACCTGAGAAAAACAAATCCATGGGAGACCTGGCCATGTATGCTACAAGAAAGACACATCCAGATATCAAATTACAAGGGTGTCTCCGGGGTTATGAGTTCCCCTTTAACAATTGAGGGCACTCCCATCAGCATTAGGCCTACATACTGTATATCCAAGAGTCAAAGCCAATCTTGACATCACCCCAATTCCCCATCACTTTGCAACTGCAGATGGGCCAAAAGAGCAATAGCGACAGGCCAGTATAGTAGAAGTGGTTGTGTTTCTCTTAGGGCTGTGAGGGGGTTATCGCATGGATTCCATATGCCTCTGCACATGCAGTGAGACGCCCAGACAAGCCCTGGAGTCAGTAGCTCCCTCCTTGTGGCCTGGCCACCACTGCTTCTTACAGCTGCACTGTCAGATCGTGCACACAAGCACACACAGAGAGACAGAGACCCAGACAGACAGAGACACACACAGACAGACAGAGACACACACAGACCAGACCGAGAGAGAGAGAGAGAGAACACTGTGCTGAGGCCTGCCAGAAAATCACAAGCAGCAGAAACAGAGAGATGCCTCTTCTTGATCACATTAAAGCGCGTGTGACTAATTCAGCCAAAATCAACAGCACTAGATGTTTTGAAGATTGGCAAATGGCTTCTGGCCCTCTCAGACTCTATTTGATGATTTGCATATCAAGCTGATCACATCACTAAGAGGAGAGAGGAGAGAGCGAGAGCTTTTGGTCCAGTTTTCATGCTGTGGCCTGTACTACCCATGCTCTCTAATAAGGACTGGCGCTAAGACAACTTCAAACTGATAACGAGACTAACGGATACAGTCAACTGATGGCTTTGAAGACAAGCACTGTTTCGATTGGAGTGACTATCAGGTTGCCATTTAGCACGTGCATGTCTTAGAACCTAGCTGCACCATTGCTTTGACATAAAATACAATTTCCTCATTTTGACAATGAGATACTGTTTTTGCCAAGTAAATTCCACTCATACCACTAAACTTGCTACAATGAATAAAGCCTTTTTCAAGCTCAGCCAGGTGTCATCTAATGCAATGTTACAGAAAAGAGCCAGGCAAGTTCAGTTCATGAGAGCCAAAGCCACAGCAGTCATCATAGTAAATATGGTACTCCACAGGAGGCCCATAGAAACAGAGAGACACAGCCATGCCAGCTGCCTGTGAACAGGACACATTTTATGATTCACGAGGCCTCCTGGGACCAATCCAGCTAAAAATGACACACAAGCATATTCACACCCTCGCACACACAGACTTGGCAGAGTGCATTATAAACGATGCTACATGTGATCAGTAGAAGTCTCAGCACTGCACAATGCACACACTAACAAGTAGCTGTAAAATGATTCACTCCACTTGGCTCCTCTTTTAGAGAGGACAGGTTAGTCATGTAGCATAAATTAGTATTATCATTAGTAGCATACACATCAATGATGACAATATTACAATGCATGATAATGAAGGTGAGTAAATATTATTTCGGCCTAAACCTTAAAACCCATTGTGGTCTTATTCAGTAAGGTGCAACGTTTACAACCTTGAAGATAGAAATATAGGCTAATGTATAGAGTAAGAATCATGTGTGTTTTACACAGTGCATTTCTATCTGAACGTTTTGTGGCTCTGCATCCTCCTGAATAAGACCCAGAGCAGATAAATCCAGTCATCAGACTGACCTTGGGTGGCAAAGTTGACTCCCAGCAGAGTGGTCAGCACTTTGTTAAAGTTCTCCCCAGTGTACAGGCCCTCTGGTTCAAATCCCTGGCAGGAGAGGAGACAGACACAAAGAAGAAACGTTCAATTCAAAAGCAAATTGCCTGGCTGCTCATATGACTGACTAAAAACAGCAGAGGAAGAGAAGTAGGTCAGAAATCATTAGCAGCAGAGAGGCTTTTCACTGAAAACAAAGCCTTGCTGACTATCACACAGAGAGAAGCCTGACTGCAGCCCAGCAACAACACACAATGGGATATGACTTGCACACAAGACAGAGACATGTTGAATGTGAACCACATTTTTCGTGGCCTAGCGGTTTTGGTAACGAAACAGACGGTTCTCTCCTCATTTGCCATTCGATGCACACTGAGCACTCGCTCGCTCTCTGTCTCCCGGCCTCACAGACAGCCAGCTATCCACTTTCCTCCAGCAGCTACAGTGCCTTGCAAAAGTATTCATCCCCTTTGGCGTTTTTCCTATTTTGTTGCATTACAACCTGTAATTTAAATGGATTTTTATTTGGATTTCATGTAATGGACATACACAAAATAGTCCAAATTGGTGAAGTGAAATTTAAAAAATAACTTGTTTCAAAAAATTCTAAAAAATAAATAACGGAAAAGTGGTGCGTGCATATGTATTCACCCCCTTTGCTATGAAGCCCCTAAATAAGATCTGGTGCAACCAATTACCTTCAGAAGTCACATAATTAGTTAAATAAAGTCCACCTGTGTGCAATCCAAGTGTCACATGATCTCAATATATATATACATACACCTGTTCTGAAAGGCCCCAGAGTCTGCAACACCACTAAGCAAGGGGCACTACCAAGCAAGCGGCACCATGAAGACCAAGGAGCTCTCCAAACAGGTCAGGGACAAGGTTGTGTAGAAGTACAGATCAGGGTTGGTTAATAAAAAAATATCCAAACCTTTAAACATCCCATGGAGCACCATTAAATCCATTATTTAAAAAATGGAAAGAATATGGCACCACAACAAACCTGCCAAGAGAGGGCCGCCCACCAAAACTCACAGACCAGGCAAGGAGGGCATGAATCAGAGGCAACAAAGAGATCAAAGATAACCCTGAAGGATCTGCAAAGCTCCACCGCGGAGATTGGACTGTCTTTAAGACTGTCTTTAAGCCGTACACTCCACAGAGCTGGGCTTTACGGAAAAGTGGGCAGAAAAAAGCCATTGCTTAAAGAAAAAAAATAAGCAAACAGGTTTGGTGTTCGCCAAAGGGCATGTGGGAGACTCCCCAAACATATGGAAGAATGTACTCTGGTCAGATGAGACTAGAATTGAGCTTTTTGGTCATCAGGGAAAACGCTATGTCTGGTGCAAACCCAACACCTCTCATCACCCCGAGAACACCATCCCCAATAGAATAGTTATGCACGCTCAAGTTCTTGGTTGTTTCACAATAAAACATATTTTGCATCTTCAAAGTGGTAGGCATGTTGTGTAAATGATACAACCCCCCCAAAAAATCTATTTAAATTCCAGGTTCTTTCGCAAGCCACTGTAAGGTTTCACATTTTAAATAAAACATCTTAAATATAGAATTTGGGTAGCAGGGCATGAGGCATCTGTTCACTATCTAGCCCTTCAGAGCCAGAGCTACTGTGTCTCGGGGGTAGTGCATGGTCTTACCAATGATGAAGCGTGGCCTATCACAACACATTTAGCTCTCTGTTAACCATGTCAAGATGAAAGACTACTGGGGCAGCTTGTAATATTGACGTGTCAATCTGTTGCTTGTTAATTTTAGAGAACTGAAGCATGGATAAAAACATTAAAACAGTTACATAAAAGCTAAACAATCTGACATCTGAGGCTAAGATATGACATATGAAACTCACTTGTCTGTCTCTGTCAAAGAGCCTTGAGCAGGGCCTTGGTAGTATGTAACTCACATATGTTATAACTGTATATTACTGTAGATGTCTATAAAAAAATACGGCAGACTCAGGCTCTATAAATTAAACTATACTGTAGTCGACTAGAACTGGTCAAGTTAGCCCTCAATCTGTTGCTGCTACTTCCCTTTTCTGCATCTCGGTGCAGAAGGAAAAGTTGTGAGAGTGACTGCTCTCTTTCTCCAGTCACATGACAGCCCCATGTGCCTATTTTGGCTGTGGTTAAGAAGAAAACGAGAGAGAGAGAGAGGGTTTCAGCATCACATCACTGACCAGAGCATGGGAAGGGCCGAACTGCAATGGTCCGGAAAAAGTCAAGATTACATTTTACAGGGGCTCTCCAAATCCTTACGGTCGTGAGCTACTGCACTGCCGCAAAGGCTCTAATTATGGAGGAGAAGTGGGATCGCTGCATGAAAGCAGAAGGGACCTCCCAAAACAAAAAACAGGCCAGCCAGCATTTCTCCTCCTAAACCACTTGACTTGCAGCAGCGAGCCTGGCTGATTCAATTACTATTTTTTAACAAACCAACTTATGTGATTCGAGACCAGAAAGGACTATTTATAAAGGTTGGGGAGGGAGAGGCATGAGTGTCCAACACAGCAGTCACTATACTGCATAGGGAAGGAAAGGACTTCCATCACCCTCTTATTATTTGCATCATCACTCATTGTGCTGGAAATATGTTAGGCCTGACGGAGAGACTAGTTTAGTGTGGATTCTGCTGAATATGCTATATGCAGACATAAATATCAATGTAACTTCTTAATGTGGCTGAAGGGGGGATCATTTTTGCTTGAAAAGGTAGAGAGTACAGCTAAATTTCCCATTACTGTTTAATTAACCAAGCAGTGTGATGCATACTGCTCAATGCACACTGCTAAAACAGTAGACAGTGGAGCCTTATTCAAGACAGAAGCAGTCTCAGTTGAGAACCATCAACAAGCCTCTTGTCTGTGTGTTCAGTGGGAGTGATTGACAGCATGCCTACTTAAGAGGGTAGCCCATTCCACAAGGCAATCAAGAGACATGTGACAAAAACATACTACCTGCAGAAGAAAACAATCTGTGCTGAAATAACAGCAAACCAGTTCTAGAAAAGTTAAGATTTTATTGACTAACCTGTGTTGACTATATTGCCACAATCATGCAGTATTATTTTCTAACCATGGCTTCACATTTCTCAGCTATGCCACCAGTCCTCAAATAAGTTTGTAGGAAACAGTTTACTAGAGTCTAGAAACAAGAATTCAGCAACCAATTCAAGTCAAAATGTCCAATAGCAACAAACACATGATCATATAGGAGAATGTGTTACAAAAGCATTTCGCTACACCCGCAATAATATCTGCTAAATATCTGCACGCGACCATTAAAATGTGATTTGATATAAGAAAGCAAAACATTTCAACATAAAATAGATTAAACAACCACCACCAACCAACCTCTTTGAAATGACTTACCTCTACTTTTAAGGATGTACATCCTCTCAAAAACTCCTTGATATTGGCGATGCAGTCGGCTTCGTTTCTCGGATCCTGACAGTACTAAAAACAGACATAAAACAAATATATAAAAACATAGCATACCTTGGAGATAAAGATAACGGGTTAATTTAATTTAATTATAGGCGTTGACACAAATTACAACTCAAGATGGGAAAATAAACAAAGTAACAATCCACTGTTTCCTTCCCGAATGTTGGTATATCTTAAAGTTTAGAAAGTAACTGTGGATTCTTCTCCTTCATGTATACATAAACCCACCAGGTCATAAACCCACCACTCGCTCAAGGGGGCAGTCACATCAGGAAACAAGCCTTTGAGGAGGAAGTGACGTGCCGATGACCTCTTGCTTCCCCGTTGCGTTGCATCTTATTTGTCTAGTCAGTGACAGTCATTAGTTTTAAATGTGATCAAATTAATTTAGAAGAGTGCCTACAACCGATGTATGCTAAATTAATAATGTATGTGTTCCTTTGTTTTACGGCCTGCATTCAGTTGGCCTGTACAAAATGCATTACAGTGAATGTCTGGTGCCCCAAATAAATCAACCTGCTAACAGTGAAATGCTGCATATAGATATGCGTGCATGTTGATTGATGGTTATTCTGTACCGGAGCCTACATGTTGTATCACAAAATGCACGTGGAACTTCTATATATATTATTAAGACCACAATTATGAAAAGTTTAACTTGTAGCCATCATATCGTTCTAAAATTGTACCCTAGCTCTTCTCCATGTGATGTGACTTCACCAACATAAACAATAGATGTAAATGCATCTAGCACAGGGGAGAAAACGCATTGGATAGCAGAATGTGCATCAGTCTGAATATATATAAGGATCTTTGGCTATATCATGTGTTTTGGAACATTAGTTACTTTTAAGACTAAACCACCGAGTCGTTTAGTCAACTTCAGAATGCGGAACACTTTTTTCACTTCACAGGAAGTCAGCCTCTTATCCTATACGAACTCAACAATCTTTTACATGATTGATAAATGGCTCATCGTAAAGTTGCATGTGGCCCATTAATTTATTCCATTTTTTTTTTTTTACTTAGACATGTTAAATTACATTTCTCGAATGGAGATGGGCAATTTCATCAAACTACCCCTCCCTTCCTCTCCAGAGGCGCTGCCAGTATTTTATTTTCTTACGGTTGAAAAGCGTTATGACTTTGTAAATAATACTTTTTTCCGTTTTCACTGTTATGTTGCACTGATAAACAGTGCAGTTACAATGTTGCGCTTACCTTTGGAACTGAGCCGGGCACGAGCCGCTCGATAAGTTTGCACAAGACGACCCCATCTTTCAGAGATGTTTTCAGAAATTCCTCTGGGTCAGCGATGTTCTTCTTGGGTGAATTAAGCACCCCTAATGATATCAGCCACGTAACCGTCTGCTCCTCTGGGTTCATAGCTCCAATTAACCCTCCTTGGTATGCATCCCCGACGAAAGCATAAAGTTACAGAACTCCGTATCAAAATGTTGTTACCCACATCCGTATCACACTTCTGCTTGTATAAACGCCGTTGGCACTAGTATGGGGTACCCCTACTGGTTAATAACAAGCACTGTACCAAGACCTATAGTCATTGATGGGCCTTTCCATCCTTTGCAATAATTGTTCACCTGTACACACCTGGGAGGCACGGGAGGAGAATTGGGAGCTCTGGCTGTGTGCTTCCAATTCCACTACAATAACATCGGGAAACAGACAATAATTTTTTCTGATGGGCTTCACCATATTTAGCAAGGTAACATTCTATAAATTAGATTTATGTAGGAGATGCCTGTCACAAATGTGGCTCAGCAAACCGAACAGAATCTGCATTCCAATTCTAGTCTAACATCGTAATCAAGTTGCTTAACTCCAGCAATTAATGGTTATTGTGCTTTTGGGAAGGGTATAATTCCTAACCACTCATTGGCTAACTGTCACTGGTCAGGACAGTGTGCAAATGACACCAACCATTCCAAATGTGTTTATTTTAATTGGTGAAACCAGGCATTAGAATGAACTTTCATTTGGGTCTAATTTCTCTGACTGGGTTGTGTCCAATGATGTTGGTTGTTTCCATGCAGGCGCCTGCCACTCTTGGTTCTACTTGGAGCGGTGCCAACACATGCTCAGCACAGGTACCTGGAACAGTGAAGCAAAGCCACTTAAGAGTATATCAAATAAAGTTAACAGCATGTAGCTGTCCACAAGTGTTCTTCAAATGTGTTTAAGAATAATTAAACTCTTCTTTTGAATCAGCGAATTGGTGCTGGACATACCTGTTTAGTTCTCTGTGCGATGGTCCAACAACATGGTCCAACAGGAAGGCTTGAATCACCAATAGTTCCAGAAGATTTCTCCAATAGATCTCATCCTGAAACAAGAAAATATAAAATTAATGTGCTGCCATTTCTTTGATTTTGTATTACATAAAATTGATAACACAACCCGCCAGCTTCCCTTGTAAATAAGTAAATGGTCCGATTTGATTTTCTCGCTCCCATTCACTTTCCAGTTTGGTTGTTAGGACGTGGCTGGTCTTCCAAGTTGTCTCCATTTGTGAGAATCGGCATGCTTGTGACAAGATGAGCTTTGACTATGCCACTTACTAAAAATTGAAAATTAAATCCATGGTACACAAAAACATCTTAAGATTTCTTATGAACATTGCCCCTTAGTAAAATAAAAATAAACTAATTTGTTGGAGAAAAAAAAAAATTGTCTCCGGCAAAGGTGATCTCCTTTTGTGATTCTGCACATTGTTGACAAGTTAGCCATTGACCTTTAACCTAGGTTTAGTGGCAAAGTCATCATTTATCAATCGAAATGTAATTCCTTAAGTTGCTGCAATCAATTTGGTTGACGAGATAAGACTACATAAACAAATTCAATTAACGGCATCGTTTCATTTCATTCCCTGGGGCACTCAGTCGCTCGCACACCACCATTTGAGGAGAGACTAATTTACGGTCATTAAATTAATTTCACAGACGAGAAACAAAAAGGTTTGCTTTGCTTACCAGCTGTTGACACTATCAGTCGTGTTGAAAAGACTCTTGCGTTTGGTTGTTGGGGTCTTTCTTTGGTTAGGTCGTTGCAAGCCAGCATTGTTCGGCTTTATGGTGATGGAGCCATATCCACTGAGAGAAAACTACACTGATAAAGAGTTTGGAAAGTGACATTTGCTTTGTCCTCAGACAACCGGTTGGACAACTGAAAGTACAGGACTGTTAAGTGTTATCTACAAGCTTCACAGTTGTCTGCATATCAATTGAGCTCTATAGTGGACAGAACTTGTAGTTGTGCGATGGGCAATGGGTGTACATTCATGTCAGTTTCTGGTCTCTTTCTGAAAATCCATTAGCGTTGCGAAAGGTCTTTGGTTAAAAACTTTATTAGTGTACGAAAGCCATATCCAAGGGTATAGCAGGACATAACAGCACTAAATGTACAAAAACTAAACACTCATCACTTGGCAACGGTACCATCACATGGGCCGGGGAAATATAAAACAAGTAATTTTAACACTTAAAACAAAAATAAATTGACAGGCTGAAGTTAAACAGCTCAAAACCTAAGCTTGTCCATGGAATTTGACATCCCTAGTATTTTTTTCGTCTCACTATACAAGTAGTGAATGAGCAGGCATTGTGTAACGATAGCTCTGATGTCATATCCAAGTCCATCTCAGTATCTGCTGCGGGCAATTCCTCTATCGACTCTGCTGCCACCGCGGCCGCCACGGGGCGCCCCGCGACTTGAGCCACTGTACGCTTCACGAGGGTAGCCTCTCTCGATTGGGGGTGCTGGCCCCCGCTCCTGCCTGCCCATTCGCTCACCACGGCTAGGAGGGTATGGTTCACTCCGACTGCTGGGGTAACTTTCACGACTGCCATAGCCATCCCGGGAACTGCTGCCATAGTCGTCATAGCGACTGCTTCCGCCACTGCCATTGTAGGATGGTTGTGGGCCCCTTGAGGGTGGGGCGCTGCGTGAGTTACCTGCAGGGTCAATGGGTCAGGTAATTGGCAAGTTTCACTTCACACACTTTGCTGAATTGTTATGAGCCAATCTTTTCCGTGAGTATTTCTTAATGACTATCAATTGTAACTATAGGTTTAAATCTCCAATATGCTAGGGATCTGAACAAAACTTTACACTGAACATTTAGGTGCTTTGGCCGATTATTTATCCAAGCTTAGGGGAACATAAAATACGCAATGAAACCCCTTTCAGCATGCCATGTTTTGTTGAGTAGCTGCCTTTTCCTTTTAGAATTCCAGTTGTTCGAGTCGCACATTGGTCACGCGGTTTTTCAGTGAGGTCTTGATGGTTTTGTGAGGGTCGTTTCACCCCCAAAAAACAGACTTATGTGCATGATTCCTTGAGGGATTACTCTGTGACACTGTCGAACGAACAATGACTGGTCAAGAAGCTTTGTTGGACGTTTCCATCGACTCTTGTGATGCATATACGGTCACCAGCTCCCAGGGCCACATTGAGCAGGTTGTGAGACTAGAGCAACTTTTCTCCATTACATTTAAGTGGTCAATCTTACCGTAACCATCGTAGGGCTCTCGATAAGAGGCTGCACTAGGGCGCTCCATATAGCTTTTGGGTTCCCGGCCTCCCCCATAACCATCACTGGTGAAAGGAATGGTGTAACGTTACTTCACATTCATGCCAACGTAAACCTAAGCCAATCTTTAGAGTCACAAGTCAAACATACCTGTAGCCCCTTGACATTGACCCATATTCATCGCGGGAACTGGATTGGGGATAATCCCTTGGCGGATAGTCCCTTGGTGTTGGTGCGTAGTCCCTTGTATCCCTGGAACTCACATATTCCCGGCTAGAATAGCTGTCAAATGGGAAAACATGGTACTTGTGTAAACAAGCAATGTGACAGATTTTCTAAGAACTTACATTCAGAATGTGTAACCAACCACAAACTGGTAGTGAGATATTTGTTGAACGGGCACACCCACCTGTCCTTTGTGCTGTAATATTCATCCCTTGGTGATGGGTAATCATCCCTTCTGGACATAGACTCTCTGCGGGGAGGGGGTGGGCCGTAGGGGTCCCTGTCCCTTGACATGGGAGCTAAAGAAAACAAGATCCCATGTAATCATAAGTCTGTGGCACTACATGCTTAGTCAGTCCTCATAGCAATATGTTCAAGAGGTCCTCACACTTACGTCTGCCCATCGGAGAAGAAGCATGTCTCTTCGGTGGGGGGCCTCCATTACGAATCGGAGGTCCCCTCTTCAGTGGTGGGGGGCCTCTGGAGGAAATCCCTTTGAAAAAGGGTTCTACAATCCCTACGTTATCATAGTAGTCTTTTGGCAGACAAGAAATGCAAATATTAATGGCAAGCTCAGAACTTGAAACAATTTGAAAAGTCAATTCAAAAGACATCAATGCCACAGTTTCATAGCCTATGTACTTATTCCAATTTAGGTGGTTTTACAATAAGACTTTGCATAAATGCCCAATATAACAACCCCTGTGAGTACTTTTGTAAAGGTACCTCTGGATGGTGGACCCCTCATTCCACTTGGTGCTCCTCTAGATCCTCGAGGGCCTCTAGGGGGACCACGGCCGCGCATGGGGAGTGGGCCACGTCTGCCTGCTGACTCAAACTGAGGCTTTGTAGCTTGTTCAACCTTAATTGGCTTACCATCAAGCGACTGAGAAGTAAATAGATTACATTTTTCATTAGAAACGTATACAATCTACAGAAGTTAGGGTCATTTAAGTTAATAAAAACAATACACAACGGTTTACCTTCCCATTCATTTCACGCGCAGCATCCTTTGCATCTGCTGGACTCTCAAAGGTCACAAAAGCAAACCCTCTTGATTTGTTCGTTTCACGGTCTTTCATCAACAGAACTGGAAAGAAAGAAATGTCTACTTAAGTAGTACTCACACAGGAAGTGTCCTAAGTTACAAAATATAAATCTGAACTGATACTCTTTACTTCTTACATTTTAGTCATTTAGCAGACGCTCTTATCCAGAGCGACTTACAGGAGCAATTAGGGTTAAATGCACAGACAGTTTTTTCACCTAGTCGGCTCGGGGATTAGAACCAGCGACCTTTCGGTTACTGGCACAACTCCCTTAACCACTAAGCTACCTGCCGCTCCAGGTACTGGTGTGTTTTACCAGCCCATTGCTGATCAAAACCATTTGGTTATTAACGGAATTGCTCACACTTGACTTAATCATAACAGTTTATCCACTAAAGGAATCGAGACATTGCAGCTTGGTAAAATGTACTCTTGAATCTGCCCTCATACAATAGCAAGGGACATAACTATTACCATGCAATGGCAATCCATTTAGTTGGACTCTTGAGTTAGCAAACATCTTTTTAAGTATTGATTGTTAACCAACATTTTTTTACCTTCTACTATTCTGCCATATTTGCTGAAATACTTCTCAAGGGCCTTCTCGTTAGTTTCAGTGTCCAGGCCACCAATGAAGAGCTTCCCTGGTCGATCAGCCTCTGCCATATTTGACTCGGTTTAAGCTATTAAGAGAAAAGAGTACTGTTAGTTTTGACATGAAGGTCCACCAGATCGACGCTGTTTGTGAAACAAATGTGCATGCTTGGACTAGGGCATATTTGTGAAAACTTGTCCTGACCTCGTTTTCGAAAAATGCAGTTAGCCATCTTGGTTAGATTAATATTTAATTCAGATCTACGTGGTGACTTGCTGTTCAAGTACGCCACATTTACCTACAATGACATTGTACATTAGAACGTTACGTTTTAACAGCACAAAATGGCGTCGAAAGTGGAATGAATGACAAGCTAACTAGCATTTCCAAACATCTCTGGCTATTCCTTCCAGCCAGGATATCAGTTATGTTAACTACCTAACAAATAAGCCACGTTACAAACTGGCAAGTTAACAATAAAATAACCAAGTGGGGAAATTGTCAGTTCAAGTGCATTTAGTAAATTAACAAGAAAAAAAAAACGAAACTGTGGATTCATTCAACAAAGCTCAAAATGGCGACTGGTTGGCTAGCCGTTGTGTTGGTACATGAAACATATCTGCGTGCATAAATGTATCGTTAAGCGGGTTTTTATAAAACATTAAAGTGTGTTGGCTGTTTAATATCTGCAAAACAGACGCGCCATTGTGCACTCAATACATTTGAAAAGTGTCTAACACCTACCTTTTAATAATTGCACGACGCGCTCGAGCCTCCTCCAGGAAAATGCGAAACGACGAATGAAACGTACACTGATCACGTGGTATCACGCGTCATAAAACTTGTTCTAACGACGAACAACTAGAAAAAACGTGAATAAAAATTAAACAAATAAACAAAACAAAGACAACGTTTTCTAATCAGGGATCAGTGTGCAAAAGTTATTATAAAGACATACGGCTTGTTTAGAATTAACTAATTTCAAAGATTGCTTGTACAATGTAATCTCATTCAAAAAGACTACAGAGGGGTAGTTTAAAAAACAACAACATTTCAAATAAAATAAAATAAAATTGTATTGGCCACACGCGCCGAATACAACAGGTACAGACATTACAGTGAAATGCTTACTTACAGCCCTTAACCAACAGTGCATTTATTTTTAATAAAAAAGTAAAATAAAACAACAACAAACAAAAAATGTTGAGAAAAAAATAGCAGAAGTAAAATAAAATAACAGTAGGGGGGCTATATATACATTTACATTTTAGTCATTTAGCAGACGCTCTTATCCAGAGCGACTTACAGTTAGTGAATACATATTTTTTTATACTGGCCCCCCGTGGGAATCGAACCCACAACCCTGGCGTTGCAAACGCCATGCTCTATCAACTGAGCTACATCCCTGCCAGCCATTCCCTCCCCTACCCTGGGCCAATTGTGCGCCGCCCATGGATTCGAACCAGGATCTCTAGTGGCACAGTTAGCACTGCGATGCAGTGCCTTAGACCACTGCGCCACACAGGAGTACATATACAGGGGGGTACCGGTGCAGAGTCAATGTGCAGGGGCACCAGCTAGTTGAGGTAGTTGAAGTAATATGTACATGTGGGTAGAGTTAAAGTGACTATGCATAAATAATTAACAGAGTTGCAGCAGCGTAAAAAGATGGGGTGGGGGTGGGGGGGCAGTGCAAATAGTCTGGGTAGCCATGATTAGCTGTTCAGGAGACTTATGGCTTGGGGGTAGAAGCTGTTGAGAAGTCTTTTGGACCTAGACTTGGCACTCCGGTACCGCTTGCCGTGCGGTAGCAGAGAGAACAGTCTATGACTAGGTTGGCTGGAGTCTTTGACAATTTTGGCTGGAGTTTTTTGACACCGCCTGGTATAGAGGTCCTGGATGGCAGGAAGCTTGGCCCCAGTGATGTACTGGGCCGTATGGTTGTGTATGAAATATGTTTCCATAATAATCAAATTATTGTACAAAAATGCAACATTTCTATACTACATTAGGAAACCAAATCTGACATTATAAATTAAAGTAGGTATAATAACATCATTACATATCACAGTATTGAAACGCATCCCAACAGGTTTTAGTGAGTTGAGGTCAAGAGAAGTAGTTGTGTGCCTCAGTTGGTAGTGCATGTCACATGTCATTTGCAACGTAAGGGTTGTGGGTTCGATTCCCACGGGGGTCCAGTACGGGAAAACAGTATGAAATGTATGCACTCACAACTGTAAGTAGCTCTGGATAAGAGTGTCTGCTAAATTACAAAAATCTATAACATCAGAGTTACAAAAAACTCAATGGTCAAAGTTAAATATCTGTCTTAAGAAATTATTACATGGGTAAATGTCATTCATTGTTTTGAGATGAACAGAACTTCTTTAGCAATATATATATATGTATATTTTGTACTTTTAGCCCCCAATTGGTAGTCCCATCGCTGCAACTCCCCTACCGACTCGGGAGAGGCGAAGGTCGAGACGACGCTGGGCCAATTATACGCTACCTCATGGGTCTCCCGGTCACGGCCAGCTGTGACACAGCCTGGGATCGAACCCGGGTCTGTAGTGACGCCGCTGCGCCACTAGGGAGCCCCTATAGAAATCTTAGTAAAATCTTGTAACATATATTTCCTTTTCAAAGGTGAAGGGAAACACTCAGAAGTAAAAATAGTTCTTTGTTATTGCATTTTTTATCTAAGAATTAACATCCATCTATAACTAATGAAAACATCTGTGGTACTGCAGTAAAATAAGTCAACAATCCTTTGATTAAAAAGGCATTGCTTGTAGAATTGCCTTAACTTCACGCCAGTTCGATACAGCTACAACTGGAAGTGATTTTCGTAGCAGGCTAGGAGAGCATTTTCCTAATATTAATACAATTATTGTAACCTGCTACGTTAATTCTCCCAACCTGCTGTGTAAGGTCTCCTAACCTACTATGAAAAAGTCACTTCCGGTCGTAGCTGTATCGAAGTGGCGTGAAAAGAGTGTTTCTCTTTTCCATGGTGGTGTGAAAAATCAGCACAGATAGTGCTATCTTGGATCCTTGGGGCTGTCCTTCCCTAAACCCTACCCTTATCCTAATCTTAACCCTTAACTGTCTTGTTTTGTACGCTTTGTACAAAATTATAAAATGCAGGACGACAGGATATTTATAAACGTAGCTCTTTATTAACTAGCTATAACTTGCATGTCCATGTGTCTCTGGCCATGATCATCTTAGAATGACCTCACCACCTGGGTGGTCTTAACCAATCATTGCACAGTATGATGCATCCAATTACAATTCAGTATGGTGACACATATGAATATTACATCCCCCTTCTTTTAAAAAAAAGAAAAAATATGTGGAACAATAAAGCGTTTCTTTTGAATATATGCTCTGTAGTTTGAACTCGAGGTAAGTAACCATTTAAACTGCACCAACTGCATCAACATAACAGACAAACAATGATTCAGCATATTGTTATTTTTAGAACAAATATTTCTCAGCAACTCAGCTTTTCACTGTAGCAATGACATCTCAACATATCAAACAAATACAATACCAAAGCATTTCAAGTTAACTTTCAATAACAAGTTTACAGTCTGGAAACTCTTTTAGGGCAGCGATCCGCCTACACCCTTTGACATTTCACAGGTCTAGGACAGCTCTAGGCTTGACCTCTCTTCCTGACCTTGTGTGATATGAAGCTGAGCATGCTTCTGTGTCAGTCAACAGTTCTTGTGGTGTTGCAGGTAAGTATGGTGTATGTTGTGTTGTGTCTGTGTTTAGTCCATCCCGTTCTCTTTCAGGGGAACAGTTCATCTCGTCAGTGTGTTGTTCTTTTGTGTTCAGTAGGTGACGACGATTGCGGCGGTACACCGCTCCTTCTGCGGTGCGAACGTGATATGAACGTTCAGTGTCAGCTGGTTGGATGACGACTGCTGGCTTCCAGTAGCCATGCTCCTGGATTCTAACTGACTCTCCGTCGTTCAGTGGTGGCAGTGGTCTGGCTGACCTGTCGTAGTATCGCTTTTGCTGTTGCTGTCTCTGTGCACGTTTTGCATGCACTTCCTTGTAGCTGACGACCTCAGGTTGCAGCTGCTGGTTGGTGCTGGGGAGGATTGAGCGAAGTCTGCGGCTCATCAACAGCTGGGCTGGTGATTTGAAGTTGTCAACTGGAGTGTTGCGGTATTCAAGGAGACTGAGGTAGGGGTCTCTCTTGTCTGCTTTTGCTTTGTCCATGAGTGATTTAGCGATCTGCACAGATTTTTCAGCAAGGCCATTACTTTGAGGGTAATGTGGGCTTGTGGTGACGTGTGTGAACTCCCATGCTTTTGTGAAGGATTCAAACTCATTTGATTTGTAACAGGGCCCATTGTCAGATATTAAAGTCTCTACAATGCCATGCCTGGCAAAGGCTGCTTTCAGCTTGTGTATCACAGCTGCAGATGTGGTGCTGTGAAGCTTGTCGAGTTCGAAGTATCTGCTGTAGTAGTCCACTGTTATAATGTAGTCCTCGTTGTTCCACGTGAACAGATCGGTTGCCACGACCTGCCAGGGTCGGTCTGGGATACGGTGAGGTAACATTGGCTCTTTGGTGTTCGAGGGGCGTCGTTCAAGACAGGTGGGGCATTTACCAACCATGTCCTCTATTTGTTTGCACATTCCGGGCCAAAACAAAATGTCCCGTGCTCTCTGTTTGCACTTTTCCATGCCCATGTGTCCAGCATGGATCTTTGTCAAAATCTCTTCTCTGAGACTGGTAGGAATGATGATTTTCTCTCCTTTGAAAATGATTCCGTTGATCTGTGATAGTTCGTCACGATGGTTCCAGAACTCTGAGACGCTCTGAGGGCATTTTCTCCTCTCCTCAGGCCATCCTGACTGTATGACTTTCCTCAGCTGTGTGAGTTGTGTGTCTTTTTCTGTTTCTGCTCGGATCTCCTTCAGTTTTGTGTCACTAACTGGTAAGTTGCTGTACACAGTGTGCACCTGCATGTCCATGCCTTCACTGAGGCTGCTGTCCTTGTAGGTAAGAAACTTCCTGGAGAGTGTGTCTGCGACAGGGATGTCTTTGCCTGGACGGTGAGTGATTGTGAAGTCGTATTTTTGTAGTTGAAGGATCATTCTCTGTAGCCTTGGCGGGGCTGCGGCTAATGGTTTCCTCATGATTGACTCGAGGGGCTTGTGGTCTGATTCCACAATGACTTGTCGTCCATAGACATACTGATGGAAACGCTTACATCCGAACAGAATGGCGTACAGCTCCTTTTCGATTTGAGCGTAGTTGATTTCACAGTCTGTGAGAGATTTGGAAGCGTAGCCGATGGGTTTTCCTTCTTGCAGTAGCACTGCCCCTAGTCCATACTTTGACGCGTCCACCTGGAGTCTGAGCTCTTTGTTGGGGTCGTAGTAGGCAAGGATTGGTCCTGGTTCTCTCGTGATCAAGTCTTTCACTTTCTGGAAAGCGATGTCGTGTTGGTTGTCCCAGAGGAACTCACTGGACTGCTTTAGCAGCTGACGCAGGGGTGCATTAGCATTGGAGAGGCTGGGTGCGAACTTGGCTAAGTAGTTGACCATGCCAAGCACTGTTTCCAGCTCTGCGCGGTTCTTTGGTGGCTCCATTTCCTTTATGGCTGAGATCTTCTGCGGATCTGGCTTGATTCCATTCGCTGTGAGAAGATGCCCGAAGTAGCTGACCTCTGTAGCGCCGACTGTGCTCTTCTCGGGGTTGAGCCGGACTCCTCTCTCGCGGGACCTTTGCAGCATCGCGCTGAGGTTTCTGTCGTGTTCCTCTTTGGTTCGACCATAGACAAGGATGTCGTCCACAATTGCCACGACTCCGTCGAGGCCTTCGTACACCTCGTCGATCTTTCGCTGAAACTCGTCTTGGGCTGAGATAATCCCAAAAGGCAGGCGACGGAACCTGTAGCGTCCAAACGGTGTGTTGAACGTTGTGAGCTTAGATGACTCTTCTGTGAGCTTGATAGCCCAGTAGCCTGATCTGGCGTCCATGACACTGAAGTAGCGTGCGCCCGCTAGCTTGTGTGTGATGCCATCTAGCGTCGGTAAGGGGTAATGGGGGCGTTTGATAGCCTTGTTCAAGTCTCTTGGGTCGAGACATACTCTGAGCTTGCCTGTCCGTGGTTTCTCCACCACCACTAACGCGTTGACCCAATCCGTCGGTTCTGTAACCTTGGTGACGATGTCAGATTGCTCCATGCTCTCCAACTCTTTCTTCAGACGGGCGCGGAGAGCAAGTGGAATCTTTCTCGGTGGGTAGATCACAGGGGTTGCGTCTGGGTTAAGGTGAATGGTACATTCTCCTGGGAATAGTCCTATTCCTGTAAAAACATCAGCAAACTCCTCCATGACATTCTCTATCTCTACTGGTGCTGTCACTGATAAAACTAGCTTGATAAGGTCCATGTCTAAACATGCTTTAAGACCTAGCACTGCAGGTGCTCGAGTGTCAACAACGTAAAAGTCCAACATCATGTCCCTTTCCTTGTATTTGCATTTGAGAGTGCATGTGCCTTTTACTGGGAGCTGTTCACCACCATAACCAGTCAGTCTGCACGTGGTGGGCTGTAGCTTACACTCAGATGTCAAGCTTCTGTACTTACTCAGAGGAATAATGTTTACTTGTGCACCAGTGTCTAGTTTGAATTTTAGCTCTGTGCCTTGTCTTCCTATCTCAATGTCAGCAAAGGCTTGCTCTGTCTCTGATATCTGACTTTTCTGTGTCACTGAATCAATAAACAGTTCATCAGCATTTGACTCTTTGATTGACATTTCATCTTCACTCACTGTATGTACTGTTTTTCCACGGTAAACTCTGCACACTTTTGCAAAGTGATTCCATTTTCCACATTTAGTACACTGTTTGCCTTTAGCTGGGCAATTCCCCTGTTCGCCATGCACTTTGTATCCACAATATCCACATGTTTTGGGGCGTTTGGAGTCTGTGTCGCTCTGTTTTGGAGTTCTGTCTGTCTCCGCTCTGAAACATGCTCTCTGGGCACTGGAGGTGTGCTTTGATGTCTGCCTGACTGCGTGCACTGCTTGTTCACGTGATGCGCTCATGCTGCCGCCTGAAATGGTTTTCATCTGAACCTGTGCTAGCTCGTGAGATCTGGCTATGTCGATAGCTTTGTCCAGCGTTAACTCTGATCCAACATTCAAAAGTTTCTCTCTCACTCGCGGTGATTGTATTCCAAATACAATACGGTCCCTGACCATCTCATCCTTGTTTGCATAATCACAGTCTTTCACAAGCAGACGCAGCTCAGTGACAAACTGTTCAAACGATTCACTAGCGCCTTGTACTTTCTCATGGAATTTGTACCTAGCGAAAATTGTATTGGTCTTTGGCAAAACATATGCTTCAAAACGATCGTAGTATGTTTTCAGTACCTTTGATTCAGCCTCGGTAAGTGTCCATGTGTTGTAAATGTCTCTCCCTTTTTCACCGATCCAGAGGAGCAGGTAGCTGCACTTTCCCTCTTCTCCTCTTTCCTTCAGAGGACCCGTGAACATCAGCTCCACATGCTGTTTGAACTTACGCCATGCATCGGGTAGATTTGTAGACCCCCAATCCATTCGAGGTGAAGGAACTCCAGCAAAATCCATCTTTTAGTCCTTTTACTCTGACACCATGTCTTGTTTTGTACGCTTTGTACAAAATTATAAAATGCAGGACGACAGGATATTTATAAACGTAGCTCTTTATTAACTAGCTATAACTTGCATGTCCATGTGTCTCTGGCCATGATCATCTTAGAATGACCTCACCACCTGGGTGGTCTTAACCAATCATTGCACAGTATGATGCATCCAATTACAATTCAGTATGGTGACACATATGAATATTACATTAACCATAACCTTAACCATCTATAATCTATAAATCTCTGCTAGGCAAATCCCCGCCTTATCTTATCTCATTGGTCACCATAGCAACACCCACCCGTAGTATGCGTTCCAGCAGGTATATCTCACTGGTCATCCCCAAAGCCAACACCTCCTTTGGCCGCCATACCTTCCAGTTCTCTGCTGCTAATGACTGGAACTAACTGCAAAAATCTCTGAAGCTGGAGACTTATCTCCCTCACTAACTTTAAGCATCAGTTGTCAGAGCAGCTTACCAATCACTGCACCTGTACACAGCCCATCTGTAATTAGCCCACCCAACTACCTCATCCCCATATTGTTATTTATTTTGCTCATTTGCACCCCAGAATCTCTATTTGCACATCATCTTCTGCACATCTATCACTCCAGTGTTAATACTAAATTGTAATTATTTTGCACTATGGCCTATTTATTGCCTTACCTCCATAACTTACTACATTTGCAAACACTGTATATAGATTTTCTATTGTGTTATTGACTGTTTTGTTTATCCCATGTGTAACTCTGTGTTGTTGTTGTTTTTATCGCACTGCTTTGCTTTATCTTGGCCAGGTCGCAGTTGTAAATGAGAACTTGTTCTCAACTGGCTTACCTGGTTAAATAAAGGTGGAGAAAAAAACTAAACAAAAAACATAACTCTTACTTTAACCATTTTAAATGTCAACTTCAATGGGATAGGGATGTCCCAAGGACCCCAGATAGCAAGGATCCAGAAACAACCTTGGCCTCCTGCTGTTTTTTATGTGCATGTCATGTCATGTTTTCTTAAATCTGATGGGCTATTCAGCATACTTTCTAAATAAGACATACAAATATAGAACATTGACAGCATAGAAGAAGAATTTAGGTAGCTTGCTAAATTTCAAATAAAATGAGTTACAAGTTACCGAGAAGACCACAGAGGTATAAAGGAACTGAGAAGAATATGCACCTAGGCCTGAGTGTCAACAGCAGGATCCAGACATGCTACATGTGAAGAAAGTGGACTTTGTTGCTGTTATAGCAATTACATTTTAGTCATTTAGCAGACACTCTTATCCAGAGTGACTTACAGTTAGTGAATACATTACTTTATTCATACTGGCCCCCCGTGGGAATCGAACCCACAACCCTGGCGTTGCAAACGCCATGCTCTACCAACTGAGCTACATCCCCGCCGGCCATTCCCTCCCCTACCCTGGGCCAATTGTGCGCCGCCCCATGGGTCTCCCAGTCGCGGCCGGATACGACAGAGCCTGGATTTGAACCAGGATCTCTAGTGGCACAGCTAGCACTGTGATGCAGTGCCTTAGACCACTGCGCCACTCGGGAGACTCTGGTGGTAAACGGCACTGGTAAACGGCACTGCGCACAATTTAAAAGATGTCAAGAAAGATTGACATAATTGTTTCTGCATCTGAGCTATTTCTGGAATTAGAAGAATTAACATCTGAGGTGCTACATGGGTTAATGACTTGTGCGGTCCCACCCTCTCAGGCCCCTGGGCCCCAGAGCCTGAGCAGGTGATTTGAGGTTTCCAATGAGTGAAGGAGCGGGAATATATATTATAATTGTTTTGTAAATTCTTTTGTAGTTTGTGAGGATTAATGTACATTTTCTCTTCCCTGTAGTGGAATTAACTTTTTATGTGATTTTTTCTTTGCCGCCATCCAGTTGGTGGCGATAATACACCATTTGCGTGTAGTTCGCCAATAAAACCAAAGAAGACGAAGCGTCTGGAAGACCGACCAATCAAACGAATCGCCCTCTCTCTTCTTTACGACAACCACACAAACGACGTGTTGCTGTTGGATGCTAACTAGCTAGCTATCTAAGCTAAACTGGCCGCCGTCGCAGTGGCTGACAAGTTAGCTAGCTAGCGTTCTTTTTCCTTGCAGAAATAAAAACGGAACTACACATCGGGTGAATTGAAGTTTGCAACCAAACCCGGACAATGAAGACGCGGATAGACATGGAATTTGTACTTGTGTTCACGGTAGTTGCCTTCAGTACTTGTTTAGGATTCTATCTTCCGGGTTTAGCACCAGTGAGTTTTTGTGAAGACGGTAAAGGAGGTGATGATTGTCAGGTAAATTAACACGGATGGTGGTGTTCTTTGAAAGATGCATGTTTTTCAGATTGAAGTTTATAAATGTTATATTTGTATTTTGTTCTATTTCCTTCCTACTGGCTAGCTATCTAGGTGGTTAGGTGCTAATGTTAGCTAGCTAACTAGTTAGCTACATGCTAACTAGTCAAGTGACACCAGGAAAAAGTTATTATTGTAACTAGCTAGTTAGTTGAGAATTCTCAACTCCACGATACAATGGAGTTGAGTGGCGATAAATTGGAAATAAAAGAAAGCATTTGCACAGGACAAACATAGATATGTACAACAAGGTATGCATTAAAGAATGGACATTTTTACCGACCATGATACCGACTCGATATAGACGAAGGTACACCGCCAAAAGTCATCGCCACACAGATGTGATGTACATATCGTGGAGTTCAGAATTCTTAACTATTATTATTGCTGCACTAACGATACTAAAGCTGTTCACTAGCTAAACTATCAAAACGTCATCGTAACAAGTGGGGGTGCGTGCTCAGACCCCTTCTGTACAGCATGTTCATCAATGACTGCGTGGCCACGCACTTCTCCAACTCGATCATCTAGTTTGCTGATGACACAACACTGGTAGGCCTGATTACCAAAAACGAAACTAAGAGACAGCCTAAAGAAAGGAGGTGAGAGCCCTGGCAGAGTGGTGCCAGGACAATAACCTCGCCCTCAACATAAACAAAACGGAGCAGATAGTGGACTACAGTAGACAGCAAAGACAGCACGCCCCTCCATATCGACGGGGCCGCAGTGGAGAGGTTCAAAAGCTTCAAGGCGTGCACATCACTTACAACCTGAAATGTTCCCTTCACGCAGACGGTGTGGTGAAGAATGGCGCAACAGCGCCTCTTCAACCTCAGAAGTCTGAAGAAATTTGCCTTGGCCCCTAAAACCCTCATGAACTTCTACAGATGCACCATTGAGAGCATCCTGTCGGGCTGTATTACTGCCTGGCATGGCAATTGCACAGCCCGCAACCGCAGGGCTCTCCAGAGGGTGGTGCGGTCAGCCCACTTCCTGCCCTTCAGGACAACTACAGCACCCGGTGTCACAGGAACGCCAAGAAGATCATCAAGGACCTCAGCCACTCGAGCCACGGCCTGTTTACCCCGCTAACATCTAGAAGGCGGAGACGGTACATATGCATCAAAGCTGGGACAGAGAGACTGAGAAACTGCTTCTATCTCCAGGCCATCAGACGGTTAAACAGTCACCACTAGCCGGCCTCAGCCCAGTACCCTGCCCTGAACCTCAGTCACTGTTCTAGCCGGCTACCACTCGGTACTCCACCCTGCTGCCCTATGTACATAGTCATTGAACACTGGTCACTTTAATAATTTCTACATACTGGTTTAACCACTTTATATGTATATACTGTATTCTAGTCATGTCTCATCCTATATAACTACTGCTGTACACACATTTTCTATTCATATACTGTCCATACTGTTTTTACACACCATTTATTTTTTATTTATTTTATTTTACCTTTATTTAACTAGGCAAGTCAGTTAAGAACAAATTATTATTACAATGACGGCCTACTTTATATATATTTATATATATATATGTGTGTGTGTGTAATATACACTACCGTTCAAAAGTTTGCGGTCACTTAGAAATGTCCTTGTTTTCGAAAGAAAAGCAATTTTTTTTGTCCATTAAAATAACATCAAATTGATCAGAAATACAGTGTAGACATTGTTAATGTTGTAAATGGCTATTGTAGCTGGAAACGGCTGATTTGTAATGGAATATCTACATGGGCGTACAGAGGCCCATTATCAGCAACCATCAGTCCTGTGTTACAATGGCACGTTGTGTTTGCTAATCCAAGTTTATCATTTTAAAAGGATAATTGATCATTAGAAAACCCTTTTGCAATTATGTTAGCACAGCTGAAAACTGTTGTGCTGATTTAAAGAAGCAATAAAACTGGCCTTCTTGAGACTAGTTGAGTATCTGGAGCATCAGCAATTGTGGGTTCGATTACAGGCTCAAAATGGCCAGAAACAAATAACTTTCTTCTGAAACTCGTCAGTCTATTCTTGTTCTGAGAAATGAAGGCTATTCCATGCGAGAAATTGCCAAGAAACTGAAGATCTCGTACAACGCTGTGTACTACTCCCTTCACAGAAAAGTGCAAACTGGCTCTAACCAGAATGAGGACTGGGAGGCCCCGGTGCACAACTGAGCAAGAGGACAAATACATTAGTGTCTAGTTTGAGAAACAGGCGCCTCACAGGTCCTCAACTGGCAGCTTCATTAAATAATACCCGCAAAACACCAGTCTCAACGTCAACAGTGAAGAGGCGACTCCGGGATGCTGTCCTTCTAGGCAGAGTTGCAAAGCAAAAGCCATATCTCAGACTGCCCATCTTAATATTTTATTTTTATTGGACAGTCTGCGTCCCGGAGTCGCCTCTTCACTGTTGACGTTGAGACTGGTGTTTTGCGGGTACTATTTAATGAAGCTGCCAGTTAATCAGCCGTTTCCAGCCACAGTAGCTATTTGCTACATTAACAATGTCTACACTGTATTTCTGATCAATTATTGTTATGTTATTATGTTATTTTAATGGACAACATTTTTTGTTTTTATTTCGAAAACAAGGACATTTCTAAGTGACCCCAAACTTTCGAACAGTAGTGTGTGTGTATATATATATATATATATATATATACACATACACACACACACACACAGTGGGGAAAAAAGTATTTAGTCAGCCACCAATTGTGCAAGTTCTCCCACTTAAAAAGATGAGAGAGGCCTGTAATTTTCATCATAGGTACACGTCAACTATGACAGACAAAATGAGAAAAATAAATCCAGAAAATCACATTGTAGGATTTTTAATGAATTTATTTGCAAATTATGGTGGAAAATAAGTATTTGGTCAATAACAAAAGTTGCTCAATACTTTGTTATATACCCTTTGTTGGCAATGACACAGGTCAAACGTTTTCTGTAAGTCTTCACAAGATTTTCACACACTGTTGCTGGTATTTTGGCCCATTCCTCCATGCAGATGTCCTCTAGAGCAGTGATGTTTTGGGGCTGTCGCTGGGCAACACAGACTTTCAACTCCCTGCAAAGATTTTCTATGGGGTTGAGACTGGCTAGGCCACTCCAGGACCTTGAAATGCTTCTTACGAAGCCACTCCTTCATTGCCCGGGCGGTGTGTTTGGGATCATTGTCATGCTGAAAGACCCAGCCACATTTCATCTTCAATGCCCTTGCTGATGGAAGGAGGTTTTCACTCAAAATCTCACGATACATGGCCCCATTCATTCTTTCCTTTACACGGATCAGTCGTCCTGGTCCCTTTGCAGAAAAACAGCCCCAAAGCATGATATTTCTACCCCCATGCTTCACAGTAGGTATGGTGTTCTTTGGATGCAACTCAGCATTCTTTGTCCTCCAAACACGACGAGTTGAGTTTTTACCAAAAAGTTCTATTTTGGTTTCAACTGACCATATGACAAATGCACTCTAGCAAACTTCAGACGGGCCTGGACATGTACTGGCTTAAGCAGGGGGACACGTCTGGCACTGCAGGATTTGAGTCCCTGGCGGCGTAGTGTGTTACTGATGGTAGGCTTTGTTACTTTGGTCCCAGCTCTCTGCAGGTCATTCACTAGGTCCCCCCGTGTGGTTCTGGGATTTTTGCTTACCGTTCTTGTGATCATTTTGACCCCACGGGGTGAGATCTTTAGTGGAGCCCCAGATCGAGGGAGATTATCAGTGGTCTTGTATGTCTTCCATTTCCTAATAATTGCTCCCACAGATGATTTCTTCAAACCAAGCTGCTTACCTATTGCAGATTCAGTCTTCCCAGCCTGGTGCAGGTCTACAATTTTGTTTCTGGTGTCCTTTGACAGCTCTTTGGTCTTGGCCATAGTGGAGTTTGGAGTGTGACTGTTTGAGGTTGTGGACAGGTGTCTTTTATACTGATAACAAGTTCAAACAGGTGCCATTAATACAGGTAACGAGTGGAGGACAGAGGAGCCTCTTAAAGAAGTTGTTACAGGTCTGTGAGAGCCAGAAATCTTGCTTGTTTGTAGGTGACCAAATACTTATTTTCCACCATAATTTGCAAATAAATTCATTTAAAATCCTACAATGTGATTTTCTGGATTTTTTTCTCTCTATTTGTCTGTCATAGTTGACGTGTACCTATGATGAAAATTACAGGCCTCATCTTTTTAAGTGGGAGAACTTGCACAATTGGTGGCTGACTAAATACTTTTTCCCCCCACTGTATATATATATATATATATATATATATATATATATATATATATATATATATTCTGGTCTCAGACATTGCTCATTCTGATATTTCTTATTTTTGTTATTTTTATGGATTATGTGTGTCTTGTTTATTTTTTATTTTTTTTATTGCTAGGTATTACTGCACTGTTGGAGCTAGAAATACAAGCATTTCACTGCACCTACAATAACATCTGTGTATGCGACCAATATACTGATTTCAGTATTTGAAGTGGGCTTTATACAATATTTGTCTATTTCCCAATTATTGCTAGCTAGCTAACTAGTCAGATTTTTTGTTTGCCAAGATTATTAACTTGCTAGCTAGCAGCTTATACTTCATGGCTGCCTGCTCAGTGGCTGGCTGGCTGGCTGGCTAGCTAGCTACACAAACCATGAGACGATGCATTAATATACACTGCTTAAAAAAAATAAAGGGAACACTTAAACAACACAATGTAACTCCAAGTCAATCACACTTCTGTGAAATCAAACTGTCCACTTAGGAAGCAACACTGATTGACAATAAATGTCACATGCTGTTGTGCAAATGGAATAGACAACAGATGGAAATTATAGGCAATTAGCAAGACACCCCCAATAAAGGAGTGGTTCTGCAGGTGGTGACCACAGGCCACTTCTCAGTTCCTATGCTTCCTGGCTGATGTTTTGGTCACTTTTGAATGCTGGCGGTGCTTTCACTCTAGTGGTAGCATGAGACGGAGTCTACAACCCACACAAGTGGCTCAGGTAGTGCAGCTCATCCAGGATGGCACATCAATGCGAGGTGTGGCAAGAAGGTTTGCTGTGTCTGTCAGCGTAGTGTCCAGAGCATGGAGGCTCTACCAGGAGACAGGCCAGTACATCAGGAGATGTGGAGGAGGCCGTAGGAGGGTAATAACCCAGCAGCAGGACCGCTACCTCCGCCTTTGTGCAAAGAGGAGCAGGAGGAGCACTGCCAGAGCCCTGCAAAAGGATGTGTTATTTTAGTGTTCCCTTTATTTTTTTGAGCAGTGTATTTTCATAAAGTTGACGAACAAGTCTGTTCAGATTGGTGATCCATGGGCGGCAGGTAGCTTAGTGGGTAAGAGCGTTGTGCCAGTAACCGAAAGGTCGCTGGTTCTAATCCCCGAGCCGACTAGGTGAAAAATCTGTCGATGTGCCCTTGAGCAAGGCACTTAAACCTAATTGCTCCTGTAAGTCGCTCTGGATAAGAGCGTCTGCTAAATGGAAAAAAAAAAAAAAAAAAAAAAAAAAGACCTCCAGCAGGCCACAAATGTGCATGTGTCTGCTCAAACGGTCAGAAACAGACTCCATGAGGGTGGTATGAGGGCCCGACGTCCACAGGTGGGGGTTGTGCTTACAGCCCAACACCGTGCAGGACGTTTGGCATTTGCCAGAGAACACAAAGATTGGCAAATTCGCCACTGGCGCCCTGTGCTCTTCACAGATGAAAGCAGGTTCACACTGAGCACGTGACAGACATGACAGAGTCTGGAGACGCCGTGGAGAACGTTCTGCTGCCTGCAACATCCTCCAGCATGACCGGTTTGGCGGTGGGTCAGTCATGGTGTGGGGTGGCATTTCTTTGGGGGGCCGCACAGCCCTCCATGTGCTTGCCAGAGGTAGCCTGACTGCCATTAGGTACCGAGATGAGATCCTCAGACCCCTTGTGAGACCATATGCTGGTGCGGTTGGCCCTGGGTTCCTCCTAATGCAAGACAATGCTAGACCTCATGTGGCTGGAGTGTGTCAGCAGTTCCTGTAAGAGGAAGGCATTGATGCTATGGACCGCCCGTTCCCCAGACCTGAAACCAATTGAGCACATCTGGGACATCATGTCTCGCTCCATCCACCAACGCCACATTGCACCACAGACTGTCCAGGAGTTGGCGGATGCTTTAGTCCAGGTCTGGGAGGAGATCCCTCAGGAGACTATCCGCCACCTCATCAGGAGCATGCCCAGGCGTTGTAGGGAGGTCATACAGGCACATGGAGGCCACACACACTACTGAGCCTCATTTTGACTTGTTTTAAGGACGTTACATCAAAGTTGGATCAGCCTGTAGTGTGGTTTTCCACTTTTAATTTTTAGGGTGACTCCAAATCCAGACCTCCATGGGTTGATTAAATTTGATTTCCATTGATAATTTTTGTGATTTTGTTGTCAGCACATTCAACTATGTAAAGAAAAAAGTATTTAATAAGATTATTTCATTTATTCAGATCTAGGATGTGTTATTTTAGTGTTCCCTTTATTTTTTTGAGCAGTGTATTTTCATAAAGTTGACGAACAAGTCTGTTCAGATTGGTGATCCATGCCTGCTTTTAAGTAAGTTAGGTAATAGCTAACTAGCAGAGTTTGTAGCTAGAATATTGAATGGGTAATGCTTGGAATACATATTGTAATTTCTTTAAGTAGAAATGTTAGGCCCCTGTGTGTGTGTGTGTGTGTAATAATACAGATTGAAATGGCTAGAAACAATACCAATACTGATAACCCAATAATGATCCATGTCTTGTCATGTCGCATGCCTATATACAGACCATCTCTCTCCTTCCTTACAGACTCTCATCCAGCTATTTGTGAATCGCTTGGACTCAGTGGAATCAGTTCTGCCCTTTGAATATGATGTGTAAGTAGTAGCTCTGACTGGCACATACCTCTCTACCTTATCTATCTTTTGTTGGATCATTGCGCATTCATTGATTGTCAACAATTTTTTCACAGCTTTGATTTCTGCAAAGACGATAACGAGAGGAGACCGTCTGAGAACCTGGGCCAGGTGCTATTTGGCGAGAGAATTGAGACGTCACCATACAAGGTAGGGGACCTCAGTCATCATATCTTCCTGGCAGTTTTTTTTTTTGGGGGGGGGGGGGGGGGGGGGGGGTCTAGATCAGCTTTAAATATTGCAGATAGATTTTGGGTTCTATTAGTTATTTGGATCTTTTCACCCTCACTCCCGCCACCCCAACCCTACTACCCCTCAATTTATTGGAGTCAACTAACAGCAATACTGCTACTTGTAGCTATTTTCGATCACATGTACGGTACATGTAGTTAACTAATTAGGCTACACATACAGTGTATTCGGAAAGTATTCAGACCCCTTGACCTTTACCACATTTTGTTACGTTACGGCCTTATTCTAAACATGATTAAAATTGTTTTCCCCCTCATCAATCTACACACAATACCCCATAATGACAAAGCAAAAACAGGTTTGTAGAATTTTTTTCAAATATATTCAAAAATAGGAAACTGAAATATCACATTTACATAAGTATTCAGATCCTTTACTCTGTACTTTGTTGAAGCACCTTTGGCAGCGATTACAGCCGCGAGACTTCTTGGGTATGACGCTACAAGCTTGGCACACCTGTATTTGGGGAGTTTCTCCCATTCTTCTCTGCAGATCCTCTCAAGCTCTGTCAGGTTGGATGGGGAGCGTCACTGCACAGCTATTTTCAGGTCTCTCCAGAGATGTTCAAGTGTGGGCTCTGGCTGGGCCACTCAAGGACATTCAGAGACTTGTCCCGAAGCCACTCCTGCATTGTCTTGGCTGTGTGCTTAGGGTTGTTGTCCTGTTGGAAGGTGAACCTTTGCACCAGTCTGAGGTCCTGAGCACTCTGGAGCAGGTTTTCATCAAGGATCTCTCTGTACTTTGCTCAATTCATCTTTCCCTCCATCCTGACTAGTCTCCCAGTCCCTGCCGCTGAAACACATCCCCACAGCATGATGCTGCCACCACCATTCTCACCGTAGGGATGGTGCCAGGTTTCCTCCAGACGTGACGCTTAGCATTCAGGCCAAAGAGTTCAATCTTGGTTTCATCAGACCAGAGAATCTTGGTTCTCATGGTCTGAGAGTCCTTTAGGTGCCTTTTTGGCAAACTCCAAGAGGGCTGTCGTGTGCCTTTTACTGGGGAGTGGCTTCCATCTGGCCACTCTACCATAAAGGCCTGATTGGTGGAGTGCTGCAGAGATGGGAGAACCTTCCAGAAGTACAACCTTCTCCACAGAGGAGCTCTGTCAGAGTGACCATCGGATTCTTGGTTACCTCCCTGACCAAGGCCCTTCTCCCCTGATTGCTCAGTTTGGCTGGGCGGCCAGCTCTAAGAAGAGTCTTGGTGGTTCCAAACTTCTTCCATTTAAGAATGATGGAGGCCATTGTGTTCTTGGGGACCTCCAATGCTGCAGACATTTTTTGGTACCCTTCCCGAGATCTGTGCCTCGACACAATCCTGTCTCTGAGCTCTAGGGACAATTGCTTCGACCTCATGGCTTGTTTTTCGCTCTGACATGCACTGCCAGCTGTGGGACCTTATATAGACAGGTGTGTGCCTTTCCAAATCATGTCCAGTCAATTTAATTTACCACAGGTGGACTCTAATGAAGTTGTAGAAACATCCCAAGGATGATCATTGGAAACAGGATGCATCTGAGCTCAATTTCGAATCTCATAGCAAAGGGTCTGAATACTTATGTAAGTAAGGTATTTCTGTATTTTTATTTTTAATACATTTGCACAAATTTCTAAACCTGTTTTCGCTTTTTCATTATGGGGTATTGTGTGTAGATTGAGGCATTTTTTAAAATTCAATCAATTTTAGAATAAGGCTGTAACGTAACAATGTGGAAAAAGTCAAGAGGTCTGAATACTTTCCGAATGCACAGTACATTCCTAATTTCCTCTTTCTGCAAGTGCTGGATTTTCACCCACAGGCGGCCAATCCATCATTCATTCTGATCTTCTCTCCATCCCGCCGATGTCCACAGATTAACCCATCTTTCCCAGCATTATACCATTTTGCTGTTTCCTTTTGCAATACATCCCTACATTTTACTGTGATTTCATACGAGGGCCTTGAACCTCCCTATGTGTAACATTTCTACCGATATTGCCCTAAAAATAAATACTTTACCCAAGAGTATATTTATATTTCCAATCATTGATTGTGGTTTTTCAGATCCCCTAACAATGCAGTTTGCAGGTCCATCTGCAAACAGCCATTCTTCCTGGCAGGTTTCATTCATAGTCTGATTTACCACTGGGCTTTAATTACCCTAAAGGTTTTCTGGGCCCAGCTTTCAGGTATTGTTGCTAAATCACTCCTGGCAAGACCAGCTATTCAAGCTGTCTTGGCTGCCCTGTTCTTCCTGTTATACCCAGTAGGTCTTACTCTTCATGACCGTATCAATATATATTGTTTTCTTCTCCATTTCCCCTCAGTTCTCATTCAAAAAAGATGAGAAATGCAAGGAATTGTGCACCAAAACCTATGTGAAGGGCAAACCCGAGGATACGAAAATGCTGGACTTCATCAAGAATGGAATGCAGTTGAACTACCAGCACCATTGGTGAGCTAATCATTCTCCTTCTCATTAATAGGTTGAGATAATTGTACGTAATTGTACAGAAACCGTTCCGCTTACCCCCAAGCGTAGTAGGGCCTCTTAGCATGACACTAATCCTATACAACGGGTTAACACTATGTATTTTTGCACAGCTTTTGGTTAGACCGAGATGGATGAACAGGAGACAGATTTGTGTCAACTAAATCACTTCCAGGGTTTTTTTCCAGTGGATTTAGAGTATTTTAATTGGGTTTAACAAAATGTGAGTGTGTTTTCAGGATTGTTGACAACATGCCAGTCACCTGGTGCTATGATGTGGAAGACGGTCAGAAATACTGCAATCCTGGATTCCCCATTGGCTGCCTCGTCACTGAAGATGGCCGGGCTAAAGATGCCTGTGTCATCAATGTGAGCTATACTGTTATCTCACATACATGATGGTTGCCCGATATCAATCTGATAACGCCAGAGTTTGAAGCTATGATAATTCTAGTTCAGGCTGTGCCTTGCTATAGTAATATAATAACGCCATCATATGTTTGGACCGTGACTGAGGCATGCTGTTTTAAGCTGTATTTTGAATAGTTCTAATGATAACCTCTTTTGTACGTGTTGTGTTTAGTATAAGTACGCACTATGGAATCTGGGGTAATTGACTGGCATCGTTATCTCTTTCAGTTGGAGTTCAAAAAGAGGAATACGTTTTACATCTTCAACCACGTGGCCATCAAAATCACCTACCACAATGGGGAGGGGGAGGGGTGGAGGGGAGCTCGTCTGGTGGCTGCCACACTGGAGCCCAAGAGGTAAGAACTTCAGAAAGACCCAGACAATGTAAATCAGGTGGGGAATAAGCAGATTCATTCCATTTTCAATAGCAGCTCTTGAACTTATTGTCTTCGACGCTTCCGTAGGTTTCCATGAATATGCGCTGTTCTATACTCATTGAACAACTGTTTGCCACACATGTTTGTTTCGTTTGATTGTTGATCAGTGTCATTTCCGCATTTCACCAGAGGAGGCCGAAACGCTATTAAAAAAAAAATGTCACTGCTGTATCTGGCATGCATAAATTCACCACACATCATTAGGTAAATGAGTTGGCAGTTTGATTGTTATGGCAGGATTTCCAAATGTCCAAACCTAATTATCCAATCCATTAAACCAGATTTATGAATATGTTTGATTTAATTAACAGTTTTAGCAATCATCTGTACACAAGCAGAGTTTCATATGAAGTACTAAAAGCACTCTCCTTTTATAATACTTTTTTAAAGGGTTTTGTGTTGTAGCTGGGTATAAATACAACAGTGCCGGACCCAAATCAGTGGAATGCCCCCACCCCATCGCCCAATTAGCGATTTATACCAGTCCGAATGGTGGTCCCGACAGCACGCAAAAAAAGGGTCAGGGCAGTGGGGCAGGACTCTTAAATATATGGTATCCAAGATTTGGCAATGCATACTGTAGGCCTGTAGTATGGACTGGAATTACGCGCCTCTTTCAAACCATGAAGCTGGGAGAGAACACACGATGATGATGGTTCATTGATTTGTGTAGGACATGGATTTGAATAGGCTAAGTATATTAAGCTTTCTAAAATGGATGAATGGGGCTGTCAACTGAGCCACATTATTAATATTCAAATATAACTTTAATGAGTTTTAATTACATAAAGATGGGCTAAATACCAGTCAAGTTTGACAAATATAATGTAGGATATTTAACATGAATGTGTTATGTCTTGATTCTGTTGACATTCTCGTTCAGGTCAAATGGTCACAAGAGCGGAGAGAAAAGCCAGTGCCTGTTGCGTACCGCACATCACCACTTCCTCATATATGCCATTGAAACCAGCATTTCTCTTCTGTTCACTTGGTTTTCAAATAAACTTTCTTTCAGCAGCCAAGGCATACTCCTAGTCGTATTAGCAACCCATGCTAGTAGTTGCATCTTGATCTTCCCTCTTTCAATTTTTGTATGGATATTTATTTCCATCTCTGTCATATGAAACCGTTATCATGTGCAGTGCGCATTAGAATGGGGTTTTCCGCTAGGCCTACTTGCATTTTGGAACATTTGTGCCTATTCAAATCAAATCAAATTGTATTTGCCACATGCGCTGAATACAACAGGTGTAGACATTACAGTGAAATGCTTACTTACAGCCCTTAACCAACAATGCATTAATTTTTTTATAAAAAAGTAAAATAAAACAAAAACAAAAAAGTGTTGAGGGAAAAAAAAGAGCAGAAGTAAAATAAAATAACAGTAGGGAGGCTATATACAGGGGGGTACCGGTGCAGAGTCAATGTGTGGACTGGATGTACAAGGAGATGCCTATTGCTGTGTGTGCATTGCTGCGCTTAGCCTATAATGGGAAGAAATAATAATTTATCAACATTTGAACAAGCTCAACATTTTGATCTGTTCCATCAATCTTGTTGTTTTAAACTTTTGGGATTTACAGTGGTTGTATGAACTTTGGATCTATCGTCCCAGGGTCTGTTTTGAAACTGTCTGACATTTAACAAAACATTTAATTAAATAATTGGAGCCTGGCTAGGCATACTTGTCATAAATGCAACTGCCAAGCATATAAAGGCTATGCAGGCAATGCTGCAGCAAATGTACCTGTCCCTGAGCTGATAAGATCATTCATGCATTATGAACTGCGCTCCATCCATGCTGAGATGCGCTATTTTTCCCCACGTGGGATTAACGCTATTCTTTGGGAACAATGGCGCGCTCTGGTGATTTGCTAGTGTCAAAGTAGGGCAAATTAACGAATATCAGATTCTCCGGGAGAATTCCAACCAACGGCCTCCAACACACACCCGACATGCTCTGAATTTAATTCACATATAAGCGATGGTACTTAACTCTTCCGACTCGCCCAGATATAAATTGACTTTTATGTTTGTTTGATTGACAGTATCAAAAATGCTGATGCTGACAAACCGACATGTGAAGGCTTTCCTATGGAGGTTCCTGTAAAGTTTGACAGTGACGTGAAGATCACATACACCTACTCTGTCACCTTCGAGGTACGTTAGAACAATTAAGCACAAAAATGATTTTGTTTTGCACATATACAGTGAGGGGAAAAAAGTATTTGATCCCCTGCTGATTTTGTACGTTTGCCCACTGACAAAGACATGATCAGTCTATAATTTTAATGGTAGGTTTATTTGAACAGTGAGAGACAGAATAACAACAAAAAAATCCAGAAAAACGCATGTCAAAAATGTTATAAATTGATTTGCATTTTAATGAGGGAAATACATATTTGACCCCTCTGCAAAACATGACTTAGTACTTGGTGGCAAAACCCTTGTTGGCAATCACAGAGGTCAGAAGTTTCTTGTAGTTGGCCACCAGGTTTGCACACATCTCAGGAGGGATTTTGTCCCACTCCTCTTTGCAGATCTTCTCCAAGTCATTATGGTTTCGAGGCTGACATTTGGCAACTCGAACCTTCAGCTTCCTCCACAGATTTTCTATGGGATTAAGGTCTGGAGACTGGCTAGGCCACTCCAGGACCTTAATGTGCTTCTTCTTGAGCCACTCCTTTGTTGCCTTGGCTGTGTGTTTTGGGTCATTGTCATGCTGGAATACCCATCCACGACCCATTTTCAATGCCCTGGCTGAGGGAAGGAGGTTCTCACCCAAGATTTGACGGTACATGGCCCCGTCCATCGTCCCTTTGATGCGGTGAAGTTGTCCTGTCCCCTTAGCAGAAGAACACCCCCAAAGCATAATGTTTCCACCTCCATGTTTGACGGTGGGGATGGTGTTCTTGGGGTCATAGGCAGCATTCCTCCTCCTCCAAACACGGCGAGTTGAGTTGATGCCAAAGAGCTCGATTTTGGTCTCATCTGACCACAACACTTTCACCCAGTTCTCCTCTGAATCATTCAGATGTTCATTGGCAAACTTCAGACGGGCCTGTATATGTGCTTTATTGAGCAGAGGGACCTTGCGGGCGCTGCAGGTTTTCAGTCCTTCACGGCGTAGTGTGTTACCAATTGTTTTCTTGATGACTATGGTCCCAGCTGCCTTGAGATCATTGACAAGATCCTCCCGTGTAGTTCTGGGCTGATTCCTCACCGTTCTCATGATCATTGCAACTCCACGAGGTGAGATCTTGCATGGAGCCCCAGGCCGAGGGAGATTGACAGTTATTTTGTGTTTCTTCCATTTGCGAATAATCGCACCAACTGTTGTCACCTTCTCACCAAGCTGCTTGGCGATGGTCTTGTAGCCCATTCCAGCCTTGTGTAGGTCTACAATCTTGTCCCCGACATCCTTTTAGAGCTCTTTGGGCTTGGCCATGGTGGAGAGTTTGGAATCTGATTGATTGATTGCCTCTGTGGACAGATGTCTTTTATACAGGTAACAAACTGAGATTAGGAGCACTCCCTTTAAGAGTGTGCTCCTAATCTCAGCTCGTTACCTGTATAAAAGACACCTGAGAGCCAGAAATCTTTCTGATTGAGAGGGGGTCAAATACTTATTTCCCTCATTAAAATGCAAATCAATTCATAACATTTTTGACATGCATTTTTCTGGATTTGTTTGTTGTTATTCTGTCTCTCACTGTTCAAATAAACCTACCATTAAAATTATAGACTGATAATTTCTTTGTCAGTGGGCAAACGTACAAAATCAGCAGGGGATCAAATACCTTTTTCCCTCACTGTAACTACACCATTTGAATTTGTGTGGTCATCAGCATAGTTCATAGAAGTATTGAAGTATTCTCTTTTTACAAATAATCATTTCTTAATTCACAGGAAAACAATGACATCAAGTGGGCCTCCAGATGGGACTACATTTTGGTCTCAATGCCTCACACCAACATCCAGTGGTTCAGGTACGTTTGGTCTCTCAACAGACAGCCCTCATAAGGGATTTACAGCACAGAAGTAGAGAATGTTTAACAGGCCTTCTCTGAGAAGGCCCTTATCCTAATAGGCAGACAAATGTTCTGTAAACACCAGCCTGAGTAGCTTGTAGGAAGTCAAAACAAAATGTAGTGACTTTGTTTGCTGCTACAAAATTAGAGTTTCACAGAATACAATTATCAGTAAGTCCTCTGTCTTTGTACCTCCAGTCTGGCGTCAATCACTATCAACAGATATGAGTTTAAGTCCATAACATACAGCATCAAGTTTAGTGACCATCAACCCACACCTTAAATGTCACAAACAGAACACTGGAACTCATGTGTCTAACAGAAGCTCTACATGTAATAGGAACTTTAGTCATGTAGATTAGAATATGGTGCTCCTCTGCTGCTGTTAGTCATGTTAATGGTGTACGACTTGTGTTCTTTCCAGCATCATGAACTCTCTAGTCATCGTACTCTTCCTGTCTGGCATGGTGGCTATGATAATGCTGAGGACCCTGCACAAGGACATTGCCAGGTATAACCAGGTGGACCAGGTAAAGAAACGCACACCACACTTCTCTTAGCATCTCACTTTAGAATAATTTGAAACCAAGTTAACATACAGAAACACAGAACCAGATTATTCAATTGTATTCTATTGTATTCTATTGTATTCTATTGTATTCTATTGTATTCTATTGTATTCTATTGTACGCAAATGAATCCATCAAGTGTGAATGGGTGAGATGGACATAGCAGAGGATTTGTCTGCCAAAAGTTAATGTGTGTTCTGTTTCCTACCGACCCACAAGCATGAAACCTTTGTAACATTTCACATTCACAGGGAGACTTGATAAAGGTTCCACCACCACAAGGAAAATCCATATCCTATGTAAGCTTATCGAAAGCCATTTGAACACAAACTGGGTATTGGTGTTGTGATTTCTGGGAGCCATCTCTTGAGGCGTCATAAAACGTAAACCTTTAAAATATGGTGTAGTGCAAGCCATCATTTACAGATGCCCAGTCATTTGAGAAAATAAAAAAAAGATTCCAAGAATGTTTGTCTGCTTTTGGGCTAAGCTGAGAGTTCATGTCTACACCATATTTTACAGCCATTGGCTAACGGTGTAACATCATGTGTCTTGATGTGTTTTTTTCAACACTAGCATGTGTTAGACAAGCTGGAAGATAGGCTAATGACTCACTCTTGGTGATTGGCTGATCCGTAACAAAGCAATTTGAATATGCATAACTTTTACCATTATCTTGGTTCTGATTGGTTGTGGTTCACTCTAACCCAATAGGAGGATGCCCAGGAGGAGTCTGGGTGGAAACAGGTGCACGGGGATGTGTTCCGGCCTCCCAGGAAGGGCATGCTGCTTTCTGTGTTCCTCGGCCAGGGAACCCAGATCTTCATCATGACCTTCATCACCCTCTGTAAGTAACTCTTCCTGAGATACTTTAGTAAGCAATGGAAACTCACAATGCAATACATCTTCTTCAGAATAGTTTTTTTTATAGAGTAATAGTTATTACCGTCTCTTATTGACCTTTACTAGAGCAATAGTGGTAGTATTACTGTAGTATTAGTATTCTGTGTAGTGATGGTGACGTCAGTTTGTCTCCTCTAGTCCTGGCCTGCCTGGGGTTCCTGTCTCCAGCTAACCGAGGGGCTCTGATGACCTGTTCTGTGGTGCTGTGGGTTCTGCTGGGGACCCCTGCAGGATACGTGTCATCACGCCTCTACAAGGGTAAGCCCTATGTACACACACATCAACGTACCACACGTGAATTTACTAAATGAGATTGAGTTTTAGAAAGGTACGATATAAATGTTAAAAGCCAGATCAATGACAATTCAGGCCTACAGTGAGCTGGACAGTATGAGATTCCCTCCAACCATTCAGTTAGATATGTATTTCTGTTCTTCCTGAAGAGTCTCTCTATTCTGTATGCCCTGCTTATAGCTTATGATTTTAACCCTTGTTTTCCTGTGTGTCCTCAGCTTTCGGTGGTGAGAAATGGAAGACCAATGTCCTGTTGACAGCACTGTTGTGTCCAGGGTAGGTCAGCTGTTCACGTACTGTAGCATCCAAAGCTGCATTTATTTGACACATTCTCCTTCTTAACAGGGAGATGTGTACAGAGGCTTCACATCTCTCCTTTCTCTCTCTCGCTCTCCCCCCCAGGATTGTATTTGCAGACTTCTTCCTGATGAACTTGATCCTGTGGGTGGAGGGCTCGTCGGCTGCCATCCCCTTCGGCACGCTGGTGGCCATCTTAGCTCTGTGGTTTGGCATCTCTGTGCCCCTCACCTTCGTCGGCGCCTACTTCGGCTTCAAGAAACCTGTGAGTCTAAAATCAGATCCCCCTCTGTCCATGTAATCTTATTCATTATTTATTTATTTTTTTGTCATTTAGCAGACGCTCTTATCCAGAGCGACTTACAGGAGCAATTAGGGTTAAGTGCCTTGCTCAAGGGCACATCGACAGATTTTCACCTAGTCGGCTCGGGGATTAGAACCAGCGACCTTTCGGTTACTGGCACAACGCTCTTAACCACTAAGCTACTGTTGTGGAAAATAACCACTATACTTTCTTACAAATAAGGTCTTACAGAGTTTTTGTTGCATCAACATATATGACTTTACTAGAGTTTCAACAAAGCCGATGCCAGTCTGCAGAATGACACACCCTCTTACTCTCTCCCTCCATCTTATATAGTCCCCTCTACAGTTTCCCGCTCTTTTATTGCTCCGCCCACTCCCTTTGTCTATGGTGGCGGCTACATTCGACTTTCATTATGCACATAGTACTCCAACCAATCACTCACTCCCCTGTCTTGCACACACACTCATGTTTAGTTTAACCATTACAAGTCCCTAAATCCTTGAAACATACACAAACCCCACACACACAGTGAAATTACCCAATTCAATTCCTTGCCCAGTAACAAAGAAATCTAACTCTATGCTCTTGATTAACCCAGTTCTACCTCATAGTCCATTAAACTCTACAGTTCATTAATAATAATTCACCACACTACCTGCCGCCCCAGTATTATGATCTAAATGACAAAACGGATCCTAGATCAGCACTCCTACTTTAAGATGGATTATGACTACGGGCCCTGATATTTTGTCCACGTTAATACCAAGCCCTTTTTTAATATGGCCTACAACTTTCCATGTCTTGGTGAGTTACCACCCCTCTCTCTTGCTCCATTTTACAGACCATTGAGCAGCCTGTGAGAACCAACCAGATCCCCAGACAGATCCCAGAACAGTCCTTCTTCACCAAGCCTGTCCCCGGCATCGTCATGGGGGGCATCCTGCCCTTCGGCTGCATCTTCATCCAGCTCTTCTTCATCCTCAACAGCATCTGGTAGGGGGGAAAAAAACACTAATACAATTGTGTGTCTGTCATCTGTCTGACCGTCTGTCTGTGTCTTGTCTTTCTCGTTGAAGCAACTCACCTGCTTAGCTGGGAGTCTTGTTTGACTGGTTGATTGATGTAATAAAGTTAGATTTTTTTGGTCTTCTGTTCCAGGTCTCACCAGATGTACTACATGTTTGGTTTCCTCTTCCTGGTCTTCATCATCCTCCTCATCACCTGCTCTGAGGCCACCATCCTGCTGTGCTACTTCCACTTGTGTGCAGAGGTGAGAGGAAACTACTATTCATGGGGCTTTCTCTCAGAATAATGGTCTATTGAAACATATAGGTGTTAAATTACTGAAATGTGGATTGTGGTGTACTACGAAATAACATTACGAAAATTTTCATGGGTAGAGTTTCCTGGGACTTCCCAGTGGGCGAAACGGGTTGAAATAACATCACAATTACTTAATTTCAACCAATTTCGACTGCTGGGTTACTACTTACATAATGAGAATGTATTAAACTATTTACAGTCAGAATCTGTCAGAATGTCTGTAGCCTAACCTAAGCCCTGTTTCCTGTAGGACTATCACTGGTGGTGGCGCTCGTTCCTGACCAGCGGCTTCACGGCGGTCTACCTGTTTGTATACGCCGTCCACTACTTCTTCTCAAAGCTGCAGATCGTAGGGGCCGCCAGCACGATCCTCTACTTCGGCTACACCGCCATCATGGTGCTCATATTCTTCCTCTTCACAGGTGAGTGAACTGGGAACACTGCGTAAGCAAGGTTTTGATTGTGATACAAACACAGGTCTGTGTCACCTCAATGCAAAGACCCGTCCTATTGTTTGTTCATGGACTATGGTTAAGAGGCATTAACCCGCCCATCCTTCAACACTAAGTACTTCGGTGTCAGCGTGCTGCTGCTTGCAGTTTTATGAATGGCGGTGACCGATCCTCTGTAGTAGCTATCTGTGTCCCAGAGGTATTGTGTAGTACATACTACCAGAGGGAAGTAAAAACCAAAAGGCTACAGAATCAGTGTTCACAGAATTCAATAGTAATCGGCGTGTCCTCTGTCCTGGTACCTCCAGTCTGGCATCATTCACTATCAACAGATGAGAATAGTCCATTCAACAGTCAGCTCCAAGTCTAGTGACCATCAACCCGCACCATGAGGGTCACAAGCAGAACACTGAAAAACGTGTATAACAGAGAGGGTCAAATGTATAAATATGCAAAACATTGTGTTGATCACGCTAAACTGAATATGAACTTTATTGATCTGACATTTCTGCATGGGGAATGGGAATTGGTTAGTTTTTGAAGAATCAGAAGGAACAGCTCGGCCCATTCCTGTACACATTTACTAGGATGCAGGAACTCTATCCTGTTCCAGTGACAGCATAGACCTAGGAATGCACTAGTATTGTGCATCTTTTGTTGGCTCAACCCCCCGTACAGGCATCACACTTCTGGTTTTACTGGCTGTACAGCTCAGTGGAGGAAGGGGAGGAACATCCTCAGTGAATTATTAAATAGTGAAACATTAAAGTTATCCTTTTTAGAAAAACTATATAAAATATATTCACATTTCACCAAATAATTGATTAAAACACACTGTTTTGCAATGGTCTACAGTATCCTCAACAGCACTCTGTAGGGTAGCACCATGTTGTAGCCGGAGGACAGCTAGTTTCCGTCCTCCTCTGGATACATTGACTTCAATACAACACCTAGGAGGCTCATGGTTCTCATCCCCTTCCATAGACATACAGTAATTATGACAACTTCCGGAGGACGTCCTCCAACCTATCAGAGCTCTTGCAGCATGAACTGACATGTTGTCCACCCAATCCAAGGATCAGAGAATGAAACTAGTACTGAAAGCATAAGCTACAGCTAGCTAGCTCTGCAGTGCATAAAATGTGGTGATTAGTTGACAGTTTTTTACAAATTCATTTCTTAAATGGAGGCGGTAGCTATATTTGTTTTTTTTCCACTTACTTAGCTAATGAATGCAGCTAGATAGTTTAGCCTACTCAAAAAGGGATGAAATGTTAGCTAGCTGGCTATGGCTATCAAACACTGGAACTCTTCCAAGTCAAGGTAAGCTTTTGGTTTTATTAATTTATTGCCTCCGGGTCCTGTCGGGGTAACTGCTCTAGTAGCTATGTTGACTATGACATTAGCTAATATGGTGACAACGATGTAGGCTGTGTGTAGAGGTTAGCCGTTATGATATGAAGGTTTGGCTTGGAAAGTTTTTTTTAGCTTAGTCACAGACAGCTGATGTGTTGTGCACTGAAGTCCACAAACGAAGGGAAAAGGTGAGAGGAGGAGAGCGCTTAGATGCGAGAAGGAATTATACAACGATCAAAGGGATCATGCTGTTTGTATGTGGCTGCTATGAAAGTGAACTGTGTTTGCGTGTGATCGGGTGTATTCATTCCGCCGATTCTGTTGAAAAACATTTCTTAATCAGAAGCAAACGGAATGAAACGGGGATAAACATACCTGAATTTGTGCAATAGAAACTTGTTTGCAACTGTTGGACAAATGATTTCACCCTAGATCAGCTAGATACTGGCAAGAGTGTGAAAATTGTATTATGTCACTGTCTGTAACCTTGATTACTAAAAAAAATTATCTCTGCCTGTGCACCTACGATGTAAACTTGCATTCATAGGCTAGGTTGTAGCAACCTCATGATGGGTACAGGGAAAATTTGAGTATCATGTAGTAGCCTAAATCTAGCGACGTTACATTGAGCTGGGTGAATGGAATATGAATGACGGTCATCCAATATTCTGTAATAGAAATGAGGCCATGCTCATGAAAAACAATTATTGTCCTCCCTCATCTTAAACGGCACCGACCGCCACTGGTACAGCTACTCTGTGCTAAATGTAAACTTTTTAGACATACTTTTGCTGCAGACGTCTCTGATTTACGGCAACGTCTTAAAGATGTCTTTGTTGATGCTGGAGTGGGTCCTTGAAACAGACTAAAGGCAATTGTTTTGCTTGATCATAATGGTAAAGGAATAGTGTGCAGTTAGCTTGTAGTCTAAATGTGGTCATTTATACTGCAGAGAAACAAACCAGTTTTATGAATCGGTTATATTTAGTGACTTTGCCTCTTCCTGGTTCCTGTGCCAAGTCTGGCACTGAGCAGCTCATTCATATGTTGAGAGAAGGGAGGTGACGTGAGAAGGCTGCCCTCTGTCAGGTCTAGAAAGGCCAAACTGACTGTGTTCTACACAGTAAACTCCTCCCACTCAACTGTATGGGAAAAAAACTGGTCAGAGGAGCTGTGGCGTAACAGCACTCAGCCATGCTCTCTGTCCACCTATCCATGTTCCTGCTCATGCATTATATATGTACACTGATAGTGCTCATCAGACCTGACTCAATACAAGTTAGCCAAGCTCCAGATCAACAGGACCTCCCCTGGTCTCCTCAGTGAGACATTTGACTGGACTTTAGCTATTATCAGCACTGTTAAAACGGAGCACACATCTGTTTAGGTCATCAGCAAACGAATAACAGACGTATTAGGCATTGCTGCTTGTAGTAGTTGATCTATGGGTAACCATCCTAAAGGTATTCATTTTAGAGATGGTGTCTTTCGTCTCCTAGAAAATCAACGTGAAGTAGCGCCCAATTTACCGGTTGCCATGGATTCTATTAGATGCACCAGCATCCCTGACTACGGCTGTTATGGCAACTTCCCCGCGCTGGCACTCAAAATATATAGCTGTGTAACATGAGGAGAGCAATGTGGGCGTTTACTTCGTATCCACAAACACAACAATGCAGTTAGAAATGGACAAAGGGTTGACATGGTAACGGCACTATTTGGCCCCTTCTGGCCTTTGCTTACACACCCACACACATAACATGTGACATAGGACACAATGTAAGGAAAGTCGATACAAAACTACTACTGAAGCCATTAGTTTTTCCATAGTTTGCCTGTGGTTTTATGATGATGTCCTCATAGGAACTTGGTGTCATAAGGCAGAATAAGTAGCCTGTATTGCTGGAGCAGTGTCAGGCCCTATCTTAAGACTGGGATAATCAGTATTGGAAAGGGCTGGCAGAAGATCATCGCTACAGAAAATAAATCCAAGAAAAAGATCTTCATTCTCCCGGCCTCTCAGGGTCTTCATCTGAATAATCCTAATCTGCCCTATTTCTAATTGCCTTTTTGAGAAAATATGTTTCTCATTCCTTTCCTTTCACTTCCTCTCAACTTTGATCAAAACTGAATTCGGGAGTTTCTTGTACGGCTCCCATTGAGCCGTCAGATACAGGCTTTGAGTTTGACGAATTCCTCTTCTCCTGGGATTTTGCCCAATTAACATTTTATCCACTGGGTTCTCTTCAGAGAGGAGCTCAAACAAACTGCGCTATCTCTTGATTTCTTTCTGCCAAACGGAATGGTGGTTGGTGCTTACTGCCTTGGCAGACTTGTGGCTTCATCTGCTTGTTTCCAGCCACCTCTTTCAATAGGAATTTATCAGCCTTTTAAAGGAGGAGAATTTGGTGGCGCTGAGTGGGATAGCGAGCCGGGCGGCTATAAGATGTGACGCCATGGTTATTTTGGGAGTGTATGCTCCTGAAGTGCCACGCCCCTGCGCTCTTTCATTAGTTTTGTGTTTTTATTCATTATTTTCTGGTCCCCTCCTCCCTGTGCTGCACGGGGCCCGCGTCTCACTGCTAAAATCATCCCTGTGTAGATGAAACCGCATCACGTTCAAAAGCCACGCGCGCTAAGTTCTCTTTGCCTTACCCAGGTGTTTCAATAGGCTGATGTGGGTGCTTGCACGATTACAAATTCACACCGTTTTTACAAGTTCAGTGTCCTAAGGTAACCCTTTCTTGCGAGGGCAGTGTGCGAACATGTAGTACGTATGAGTGTCTGTACGAGACGTGTACAATGCGTCTGACTAATAATGTGCAATGTATGTATTATGTTGTGTGTATTTATCCCTGTCCTGTCCTTTCTTCGCAGGTACCATTGGCTTCTTTGCCTGCTTCTGGTTTGTAAATAAAATCTACAGTGTGGTCAAGGTGGACTAAAGGAAGGAGGGCCGGACTCCCTGCTCTCCCAGTGCAGTGCTTTTACAGTGACCGCTATGAGGAAAGGAATCCCTTTGAATGGACTCTGACTTGAAACCATCACATATCTCAGAAAAGACCTGGAGAGGACCTTCCTTTGTTTTCGCTCTGAAACTTGATATGTTGCTGTCATTTGTTTTTGCTTTTTACCGTCTGTCTAAGATTAATTGACGTTTGATTTGACTTGCACCGTGATCCTCAAGGTTAGTTCCAAATATCTAATTTAACGGGGGACTACTTAGGGGTGGGTGGTGAAGGATGAGCCGAAATGCTTTTATTTTCAGTTTCTAATGTAAATCAAATATGTACTTTATTTAGCTTTAATGTTCTCAGAAACCCATAAGTCTATTTGCGCGTTTGTTTTTCACCAACTCTGCTGTAATGAGAATATATAAATATTTGTCACCTATATGGAACTGTCCTTTAAAAAACGCAATCTTTTTTCTTTGTATGTTTTGGTTTGTTGGTTTTATATCTGTTTGGAGAGGTGATTACGGTGGCTATAGAATCCTAACCATTAATGGCATGTATTATAATTTACTGCATAAATAACCATGACCCTGCAATGATGGTATCTGTTTGTTCTCTTATTATTTGTATGGCTGTATTTTGGTTATATGAAAATAATAATAAATAGC